TGCAAAAGTAAAAATGCAGTTAACCGATATTTCTAGACCACTGAAACGAAAAAAGGTTACTTCAAATGACTTTAAACACACATCGATTTAGCGGTTTACCTGAAGTTTAAAATACGAGACTTTCTCTCAGATCTGTTTCAGAAATGTACAGGATTTTGCATCACGCAATTAGTTAGTGAGTAGCATAGTTCTCAAAATCTCTGTATAAACCAAGTAAACAGAAGCCTAAAAGACATTTTCACTTAACTTTCAAAACGGAGGACGTCACTTTGAATAAAAAACGTATAATTTATTTATATACCAAGGTACTAAAAACAGAGATACCGAGTTCATATACCGACACTTATTTCTGTGGATAACTGTAAGAAATTACCAACAAGACAAACATTAAACGTTCGTTTTATCTTCATTAACACATATTATGTGCAAATTTACAATTATAGGAGCATCTTTAGAACCTATCTTCACTTTTGTCGAAATTAGAAAATGGATATCTCAAAGACCTCACGGGGATACTTCACTTATACCGTCGCTTTTCTGATATCACATTCGTTATCGTCAATCAGATTATTTAGAAGAACACAAGGGGAAATTGGTATCGTACACTCGGTGATCATGTTTACTTGCGAAGAAAAATTTGGTAAGAAATGGCATTCAAATAGAAAGGTGAGTTTATCACTAGATATGTGTACAGAAAACTTTCGTTTGGTTGGTAGTGCTTATTACTTTAGTTTTGTACATATCCACTTCAATGAAAGCTGAATTAAATGGTTTTCAAACAGAGCTAGGAAAATGTGCTCAGAAAGCACCATAAACAAGGAACTACATTTATACATGATTTGTTGATTGGAATAGGTTACTCACAGAGTCTTATGAATAAGCATATATCAACAATTACGGGATGCGACCTCGCCTTTTACCTTCAGGAGAGACTATGAGTATCCAAGCTAGCAACTCTAATCTTTGTATCGAAAAGACTTGCAATGACGTTATCCACTCTATGGTTAGAAAACGTCTAGTAGGCGATTAGACTATTTATTTACATCAACCCTTGATTCGCTTGATCTCTTTCTCATCTGATATTCACTACCTAAGTATTTGAACTGATTATCCATATACATTTTATCACATGATTTTTTCAAGTTTCAACATACTTTCTCTGCTGAAATTATTATTGTTATTGTTTTGATCACTACAGATGCCGATGTCATCTTACTATCAGTGCATACTTTCACATAAATGATTTTATCATACAATTATCATTTCATGGCATGAATTGACAAGATAAATAGCGGTCAAAAAGCTAGAATCTAAAATACTTCCATACTAGTCGTGTTGACATCATCCAAGTCAATAGATTTTTATTTAAAGCCTTTTCTTAATTATTTATCTAATCATAAAACTTACTTTAGGTTTTCAATGTTTCTGCCCTTCCCCTCCCCCCCTTAATCATCTGTTTTAACTCAGCAAATAAAAATGTGACTTACAGAGTTCACTTTGCTTACTTTAATTTAAAAAAAAACTTTATATATATACTCAGGATAGTGAAATTGTGACATAAAAATTCTAACAATTCACTCCATTAACTCAATTAACTATTCACTTTTTATGTTAATTTAAATGTGACTTAATAATTTCTGTTTCTTATTCATATACAGTAAGAAGGTAATTTTAAAATAAAATTCTTAAGATAAAGCTTTCTTTTAGTATTTTATAAAGAACAATTAGTAGTAAACTATGAATATTCACTTAATTGTTAGTGAATAGTATGATTTATGACAATGAAGGTTGATTATTAGTTAAATAGAAATGTTTTAATGTGTTGTATAATTGCATAGAGAACTAGGTTTAGGCATAAATTAAAAAAGAACACACACACAACAAAACAAAAAACGGAATGAGGTTATCACAATACTTTATTTAAGGATACTTTACTAAGCCATCTTTACTTGTATCAAAGTTGCTGATAATTCTTGTTTAACCAGTTATAAAACAAGATTTAATTTCACTATTTGACTTATTACTACTAATTTTCAAATACTATTTTATTAAAAACTCGTCTAGAATATGCAAAAACACAAGGCAAAACTTATTTCAAGATAACAGTTTCTTTATGATTGAATGTTGTATGAATTCAATATATATAATGCTCCATCAAACGGTGTGCAAACAAACAAATTATTATTTACTATCAATGATGAGTAGCGATTCACTACATCATTTAATAATAACGTAATAATCTGACATGTGGTAAATTATGCCATTTCAACGTGTAGAAAATTTCTATTCAATAAAAAAATGAAATCGGAACAGTCTGAGTGATAGAACTTATTAACGCTAAGACTCGATTCTGTGATAACCGTGTGGCACAAGTTCCAACTTATACTAATTACCTATTTCTGTGTTGTAATTGACTTTTTAAACTCAGTTTTTCCAGATTACATCATTGTCAAAGTAAACATTTCAAGAACGTACGTATTCACAAAAGGTTTACTTTCCTAGGCTAATATAGGAAAGTATAAAAGTGATTCACTTTTGCCTCAAATATTAGTGATTTAAAAGTGGAAGGTGACCAATTTCGTATTACATTTTATCAAATATCAACAGTTTTAAACAACTAGTGTGCTGTACAGTAATTTAAAATATTTTTTTCGAAGTATTTTGAGACTTTTCCTTTGCCTCTTGATCAAAAACGTTTGCATAATACAGCCATAACTATAGATTTCTACTTTTTTGCTTAAGAAAGAGCATTTTGGATTTAGCAAACTAACTTTCAACATATATTGATTGAAGGGCTTTTTAAATTTAATAAAATTAGGTTACATGTTCATGTCGAAGCACACACATTGGAAGAATAGAGAGAAGAGTACATCTTTGCATTTCCCAGAACGTTACCAAGAATCTGAGAGGCGCAATGGCTCTAAGCAGTGCAATAGCTCAGCGTTTACTTGACACTGGGAATGTTATTGGCATCCTACAAGCCTTTAAATTATTATGAGACAGAAAAACGCAGCGTCTCTTCGGTTTGGCGAAGTAACAGCAATAAGAAACTCAAAACCGATTTATATATCCAGAAGGAGACGGTAATAAACCTATCACTACCTTGGTAAATTATTTTCCTTATTATCACTATTTTATTAGTGTTTATTTTGTTAAGTGGTCTTTCCTTGACTGATTCTTATTTTATGTACATCAAAACCATCTCTTCACCCATAGGTTTTCATTCGCTTAATTCTCTTAACTTATTTAAACTCTTTATATCCTGTTCAATTATTACGTAACCCATCCTATTAGTTTTTCAATTCCAGGAATCACACAATCTATCCTATCTCTCTCCGGACCTCATTTAATCAATGCACCACTCACTCCCTATACATATATACTTCAATGTTACCTTTCAATACATATTTGGTTATAAGCAGCTGATGCGAAACCACGAAATACAATGAATTCATACTATTCTACCTCAATTGTTCTGACTTTATTCAAACATTAGGCTAATTCAGGCGCGTTTTGAACCCCACTACTAGCCATTATTTATCTCTGCTTACCTAGTCAGTCGACTATTCTGAAATTGTGAATCGAATGTTTCGGTACCATTAAATAAGTAATTGTTCTACATTTACTATTATCTTGGTGTAAAAATTGTATTTAGTGAAGTCACATTAATTGTTTATTTTTCAGCTAAATTTTGATTGAGTGAATATAATTTTTTATGTTAGTTTCACTTTATCTCATAATTATTTTGAACCTGCTTTTATAGCAATTTTGTTATCCAACGATCATGATGTGTATACTTTAGGAATATTTTACTAACTCACTTATTGATGTATACGTATCCTCGACTTGTTCATCTAGATTGACATTGCCAAATTGTAGAAAAAACATCTGACAGTAGTCAGATTGTAGTTAACAGAACACAGGGGTGGGGAACAGTCGAACGTATTTAACACAAAATTACAGAACTTGTTAGGAAAATCTAACAATCATAAAGTAAATGCTTAATTTGCAAAATGTCCACCAATTGTCTCAAAATGACTCAGACTTCATTGTTCTTGGATTTTCATACAAATTGCATTATGTTTCCATTCTTTACTGTTCGATCCTCTTGTCTCTTTGCTGCCAGACCTTCTGTTCACGACTAACATTCTATTCTATTTGTGTCAATATATGTAGCACACACCACAAGATGATGCCTAAAGTGCTCCTATTTTGAAGATTGTTACGATGTATGCACATAATCTTAGTTTCTAACCAAAGTTGATGTTTTCTTAAAACAAGCACAATATTCTGAAACTTTATACTTTTACAAATCGCCTAACCTGATTAATAGTGATCAAGAGAATAAGACGATCATTAGTTTAATCTAATAAACACGAGTTGTTTTGTATTGTTAGAACAAACGTTTTTGAATGATAAATAAATCTTCACTGAATATTCCTATTATTTTATGAAGATTTATTATTCTTAATTTGTTTCGAGAGTATATTAACACATTGTTTGTTGAATGTTTACTAAGCTGACATATAAGGAAGTTGGAAATAATATTTGATTAAACGTTTTCCTCTTATGATAACTTTAGTTTAGAACTAATAGTGTTTGTCTCTAATTCACTGAGTGATTTCTATAAATTAGTCAAAATAAAAGAGACAGTTACAAAAATTTATTCATCAAATAAGAATGTTCAATACTGTGATTTTACTTTTTCCGGTATAGAGTTCCACAAAACTTAGTAAAACAGTAACTGATTTCTTGACATTCGTTACTAGTTCTCCATGCGTATTATTTTCTCTTTATGATTATCCTTTTGTTCATGGATATTTTGATTTTTCTATCCATTTTAATAACAACACAAAAAATCTCATTTATCAAAATATTATTATTATTATTATTATTACTAATACGATTATAATTATTGCCATATTAGATGAATACTATTAATTGAATGATATGAAGCAAACAATAAAAGATAAACTTTCATAATAAAATAATTAGCTTACCTTAATAAATTGAAAACAATAAACAGAAATACTCATTCATGATTTTCAAACAAAAATAAATTGTAATGATGAATTGGGGATTATCGAGATTTCAATTAGGGAAACATTCTCATTGAATATAACTAATTCGTTTTTCTATCCAATTTCTTTTTTTTATTTTTGAAAAAAAATGTTGTCAGTTTAGAAAACTAAAAAAAACTGGATCAACTGAGAGACCACCATTGTGCTAGGACTAACACAGGCCATCATGCCTCTTGTCCTTTCCAGACTGAAACTGATCATTTCAGTCGATGAACGTATTTAAAGAAAAAAAGGATTGAATAAAGAAAATTTACAAAGAAAAAGAACAAGTAAACTTTCACAGAAATTATTGTTATTCAACAATACAATTTCTAGGATTTCTCTATTGTAATTGAACAAAAAAACATTAGTTATAGTAAAATGATCTAAATTGTCAGTGTAGTGTCCTATTTTTTGTTTATAGTACAAATAAGCTATACATCATAAGTTTTGCAAAAGGTAAACCGTGTTGTGATGTCGGTAAATATGTCAGTAATTGTGTAAATTGATTAGTTAGCGTTTTTCTTTTAGAAATTTCTTTCACATTCCATTAAAATATCTTATTCATCTAAATCGGTTTGTTTTTCTTTTCTGAAATTGTTTTCATGATCATTGACTAAAGGAGATCTGACATGTTCTCTTTTATATCTTCTATTTCGTAAGATATCTCCAATCACTTTTATACGTTTAGGGTTTTGCACACCTTTTATCTGAAATCCTAGTCCTTGTTGCACTGACGATGAAGTAGTCTCATCTGAAGATAAGCATGGAGTATATTTCAAATAATTTTTACCCCATTGATCATAATCAAATGTAATTTCGGAGTTTGTTATATTCTCTGCTATAATTTGGTTTTCACATATTGTGTCTAATCGTGTTTCTAAATCAAGTATAGCACTGAGTAGTTTAGCAACAACTTGTAGACCTGGAGTTGATGGATTTGTTAGCATTCCACTCGTTGTTAACTTATCGCTCGTAATATTGTTAGACTGATTATCATTCATGTTCTTGTGATTGTTGACAGCAGAGATATGTACTCCATTGATAGCGTCCTCCATGTCCGTGTCAAGTGCAGCACCAACCATCTCGGTCACAAGATAAATCTGTTCTAGAAGCTGCTGATGACTAAAAACAATAATGTAAAATAGAACACCAAAGGAACATATTTAATGCATATACTTTTATTTGGCTTTAGGTCGAAGAATTAGTAGCATTACTAGTTGGTTCACATTTCATCAGTATACATTGTTTATTGTTATTAAATATTGATAATTAGATGAGGGGGTAGCTACGTTATGTGTATAAAAGTATGTGACATTTTATTTATTTAAAAACTACAAAACATAAAATATTAAAAACTTGAGAAATAATAAGATTTAACTAAAATTTATCCATGCCTCCACCTACACAAACCAGTGAAAGCGCCAAAAATCTGTTCTATCTGAAAATCTAAAAAGGCTTATATCTCTTTATCCAAACTCTTGTTCGATAAATCTTCCTCGTACTTAGAAATGTCTGAATAAAGATCTGCAGTATGTTCCCATGGAAAACATTCAATAAGTAATTATTTCTGATTGTCACCAAGAATTCTGGTACAAAATATTACAATACACTTTGAAATTTCAGAAACCAAAAGCACATTGAACACGATATTTATTATTAAAATATGTTAAAAGAATGTCCAGTTACAGTTAAAATATGTAAACAATTATTGTTTTGTGATTTCCATTTTTACGCTTATTAATTCGCTAACTGACGACTAAGTTGTGTTGGTGCTAATTGTTTAAATATTTTGTACATGACTGTTAGCTTAAATCATCCAATTTATTCACATACTCAGTTAACTGACTAGTGATTTTGGAAATCATAGTACTAGCTATATTAATCACTTCACTTTATTGTTAAATCGAATGAGTCAACACCATATCTCTAAACAGCAGTATTCAATCACATTTCTAAACACAACACATGCTATTTGCAGAAACAAGTTTTGTTAAAATTATCTGGAAAGTTCTCACATTCCATTGAGCAGTAATCGTTCATTTTCTTTAAAATGGTTGGGCACTTCATTTATGTGAGTGCCACGTTTAGTAAGTTAGCTAAGCATAGTTTACAAATATTGTATGGCTTTTGATCGATTTCAAAATGAATTTTTCAAAACCGTTGAGAGATACCGATGTAATTCTTAACACCCTTATTGAATAAGAGTACATCTATGGTGATGCAATTATTTTTTTAAAATATGTTTTAAAGAGATAAAATAAAAATGACTAACCTGAGTTTTAATAATTCTCTCATATGTTTAAAACTTATTTTACTTTCATTATATTCCAAGTGTTGATCATTAAATAATTGTCCATTGTTTTGAATTTTATTCAATGAACTACACGAATGAGATAATCTGCTGTTAATCATTGAACGGTGATTCTTATCACGACTATCTTGATTAGTGAAACACTTCTTTGAATAACTTTTAAAGCAATCGAAATTTTCCAGATTGCCTATGTGTGAATGTGATGATGACGTATTATAGTTTCCTTTCTCAATAAATGATAGCAATTTTCCAATGACAAGATTTAAATTGATAAACACTTTTCTAAAAATGAAATTTTATGGCATTAAGTATTACTAGACAAAGCAAAATGTAAATATTATCTCTATTGAAACTAAACTACCAGTGTTACTTCCTCTCTTTGTTAATTGATATCACGATGAATGATCATGTATACAGGAGTTAATAATCACAAACAAAATAATACTTTGTATTTTATTAGAGTTTTGTGAAGGAAAAAATGTTCTATAACAAAGCTGTTTACATATCTCCTTGTAAATTACTCCTGATTTTCACAATATCAATAAAATCTCAAAATATCATATTGTATTTGAAGTAAAAAATACCATCGTTGTAATATCCGGTGCTAATTACAAACCTCTGAAATTATTTGTTATATCTGAAGGGAAGACACCTCACAGATATTGCTAGAAGCCTGCTATGATTTAATACTTGATGTGAAAAATACGTATGAATACATTTGAGACGTTTACCGCAAATTTTATACCTTAGTATCCAAAAAGACTACGTCTAAGTGTTCATCCATGATTGTTCTGTAAATATCAGTATTCATACAAAATATAGTGGTAAATAAAACATTAATTATTTTAATTATGTACTAGTGATAAAGATGTAGAACATTTAATCAAATACCTTGTTTCATCTGAAAAATATTGCAGATAATCACGCGGAACCCAACTTTCATAAACTTGCTTCCACAGCAGGCGCAATTCTTCTGAATAAAAACGATCAATATCACTGAGTAAAGATTTAATATCAATCGTCTCAACCTCTGAATTATTAGATTTATTTCTGTTTAGTAATTCTTTATGCCAAAACAAACGCTCTTCATTTATCAAGTGATTCAATAACTTCATCAAATTTTCCCACATGACGGACGTATACGTTGAATAATTAATAATTTTTGGTAATGATTGATGGGATGGTGATTTGAGAAACTCAAGGGAGTTTTTGAAAGAGCTATCAAAGTAAACAATAAAGACTACGAAATCATACGTAGAATATACGTCAACAATGTTAATTGTTTTGATATAAAAACATAGATATATATGATTACTGTCAAGTTAGTGGATTTCAAGTAACCATCAACGAAAACAATAAACGCAGAAAAGTATAAGGATAATTTTCATACCCATCTATCATCATCAGAGGAATCATTAAAAAGCAAGAAACGCTCAATAATTATTTGAAGGAATCAGGAGTCAAGTGCACTTTTGGCCTCATACAGAATCGGTTTCAGTCACGCGGAATAACATTGAATGAGTGAGTCTAGATCTAGAGGCCAATATTTTTGACTGAATTCAACTACCCATACAGTCAAATCAGTATCCAGTGGCATAAATGTGTGAAGACTTTTCTTTTGTATTATCGGAGCTGTAGCAAGAAGAAATTTTCAGATTTCAGAAAATCCATTTCAAAAATAGATCGAAATGGTCATCACCTATGTTATTGTATGGGAATCGCGTTACATGAAAAGCATACAAAATTTGAACTCAAATTTAAAAATGTCATGTTTTCTGGTTTGCAGTGACCAAAACCTTCAACTGTTAGGTTGTGATGAAAATTGCTCCCAGAATAAACATGTTTGAAGAATATAATGAATGTATTATATTTCGTCGCTTTCTCTTCAGTTACATAGAGATTATCAAGACAAATTAGCCTGAAGTGATCATAGTCTTGAAACTTCTAAGAACCGAGATTTTCCATCAGCGAATAGTAAAACTATTTAAAAGACCAAAATGCAGTTATGAGGCTCTATGAATAATTTGGTTGATGACATTGTAATATAGTATGACGCAATTTGATTGAGACTAAAGGAATTGTAACCATGATTTGATTGGAAAAGAGGGCCAAAGTTTTTAACATTAATCTTTTGTTGTGTTTCGTTGCCGAAACAACTGGACGCTAATCTATAACTTATTTAAATAAAACTTAGATTTTAGTCTCCTAATTATCATAGTCTATTAGTACTTAGTCGTAGAGTTTATTGACTATTTTGAACGCACTATGTGTCTTTCTCTTGTCTTGTGTCCAAGGAGTTGTATGAAATAAAACCATGAGAACTGCGTTTTCATTTGAAATAAGGGTTCTTCGTAAATGGTCGTCTAATAGGCATTTACTCAGCTTTACATCTTTTAGATAACCATGCCTTTTAAACACACGTGTAATTGATAAACATTAATGAACAAGACAAGTGACTGCTTTTATCTATATTCTTTATGTTATTAGAGGTCATGTAGTTTATCAGGAAACCAGTTTTTGCTAGGAATCGTTATATTTGACTCTTTTTTGTCCATGATCAATACCTTTGTTATTTGGTCACCTTCAAAGACCTGCCCGATGACGGAGTGTTTTTATAAGATTTATTGCTTTTCTTTCTTATGAAGTGTTCATTATTATATTTATTTATAACTAAATGAAAGAAACTACGTTACCGCCGACACTTATCTATAATTTAAATATTTCTCTTCAGGTTTTAATGTTGTGCATAACTTTATAGCTTTGTGCTATAGCGACCTTACTAACCCATATTTTCAGCTTACTGGATACATATTGTGAATAGTGAATTTGTTATTGATCCTTCTTTGAGTATTCACAAAGCTACTATGATGATGTATGTATAATAGTAATTTTAGTTTTGTTAATAGTGAGTAGTCGGCCTCTGGAGCCATCATAAGGTCGCAAAAAATACTTCAACCTCGACAACATAGCTTCAATATTGTATGTGTGCAGTCGGGTTGTTGGGTCCACAAAATTCCACTTGTGGATAACGACACAATGCACATAACCAAGCCCATGTAGGAGTCTGTACGCTCTCTAATCATCCGTATATATATATATATATATATATATATATATATATATATATGTATATATATATATATATATATATATATATATATATATATATATATATATATATATATACCTGGCTGCAGCCAGTGTTACTGATGCTTTTATTATCCAGTTTGCAATGATTGTCATAATTAGCTTTAGTCAGGAATTATATATAGGGTTTTCATCACGAACTGACATCAGCTATAATGCCAAAACTCTCTTTAGCCAAATGGATGAAAGATTTTCTCATCAAAGTCCGAGATCTGTTATTTTATGACTGGTTGGTTCGTTCACAAGTTATAGTCTCGCCTTTCTACTTGTTATAACCGCTTAATTATCACGTTTTGTATAAAATCCCCTGTGAACCGATCGTACGTTATCATTAAGTACTGAAGTTGGCACTGTGGCCTTGAAATCCCTAAAACGCTTCTGATTGGCTCGTCCATAAATTTTAGTCTCGCCGACAGAAGGTATATCATTAATCTTGTGATCATTTTATGAATATAAATATTATGATTACTTGTTAAAAGATCCTTGGATGGTTTCTTTTTAAATTCAGAAAGTTGGTAAACAGTGAAATTCGTTATCAGAACAGAATTCAGTCAATATAGTTCGTTTTGTTTCTGTAGACACTTTACAACTTTTTATTATTTCAATTTTCTTTTAGGTTTTTGAAAAATTGAATTCTAGTTTGTCTGATAAAGTCAAATGGTTTTAATTAGTATGCTAAGTTCCAGATTTATTTATAGACGATGTTTTCATTCACTGATTCTTAGAAAAAAAAGTTCAATTGCTAAACATTTACGCTTGCTTATTTATTTCATGCTTAAATTATTTCAGTCTTAAATGTGAAACAATTGAAAACATACAGTTTTTTTCCTTTCTTTCTTCTATTCCACTCATATTAACACTGTTTTACTATCCATAAACATCTTGTTAATTATTCATGCTTATAGTTGTAGTTTATACTGTACCTTAATCATTCATGCTTATGACATAATTATAACAGCATCATATGACAATTCATTTCGTGTGAAATATCCATTTTGTATTACATACATTATTATACAAATGTATTTCAGTATATTTCATCTATTCTATCATCACAGTAAGAAAATTACCAAACATTTCAGTATATTTTCACAACCATTAATACTTTTTTTTCAATGTATCAACATTTATTATGAACATGGAAACAGATTAGGACGTATATTATTCATCTAATTTAATGATACGTAATAGATGTTCAACCAAATATTTATTATAGGCACTTAAATAAACATTTCTTGTTATTAATTGTTATAGAATGGCTTTAGCAACCTGAATAATGCATGTTAAACTCATCGAAATCTTCTATGAACAACTGATTGTTTAAATAATTTAATCATTATCTAATAGAAATTAATTACCCTTGGAGGCTTTGGAAGCGCGCTACCCTAGACCATGGTCAGTTCAACCATAAATTCGTGTTGATATTAAAGAATGTGAATTAATTTTGATTTACTGCCCATTTGATAAAAGTGACAGAATCAACTTGATTGATTAAACGACAGAAATATAGACTCACTTGATGTTGTTTTACTTGTATCTTCCCATTGTTATTTAGGAATGCAATTGATCAGTCTTTGCTTATGAAGCTTGTGACTTAAGGCTATATCGAGGCAATCCGCACAGAATGCACATATGTCAACATGAGACTGATCGATTGCAGTCCTAAATAACAATGGGAAGATACAATTAAGACAACATCAAGTGAATTTAAACTCCTCCCGTTGCACAAGCAAGTGGCTATCACGACTCAGTAGCTAATTGAATAACGCGATGGCGTTTGGAGCGAACGGTATTGGGTTTGAGTCCCGGATTGAACATCAACTGTAGGATGCAGGTACATCCAGCTGACGAGTCCTAAATAGGACGAAACGCGCGTCCTGGACTCCACTGCTAGCCGCTATCCGTCTTTGTTTAGACAGAAATGATAACTTAAAGCATCCAGTTTGCTTAAGTCTATTTTATCATTCATGTATATCTGTGACTACATAAATGTGAGTTAAATGAACTTGGTGGTGGTTATAAACCTTATATCCTTTAAATAGTACCTAATTTCGGATTTGAAAGTTGTGATGAATCTACATTTTTGGGTTATAACAATTACTGAAGAACGATTCAGCTGAATTGATTTAGCTTCATTTCTTCGACAAAAGACTAATGTTCAAGTTTCAACAGAAACAGATGATCAGTAAATGAACAACCTTGGATTGTGCACATAATTGAGTTACTTTGTAAGATAAATCATTTAACACTTCAAAAAGTAGAAACCTAAAAATAAACGACAGTCTACGAGCATATTATTTATCTACTTGACATTCTTATTTGACGACAGTATTAAATGATTGTTATGATGACTAATTTTTTCTGTTTGTTTTAAAAGATATAGATATGAAGAAATTGCTAAAAATGGGTGTTTCATTACAGATTGTCCGTTCTAGTGAAACATATTAACATCACTTACTACAATACACCGTTCAGTGAAGACAGATTATCTGATTCACATGCAGAGTCTTTCTGGTTTGATAAGGAGTTAGTAGTTTCTTTATGAATCGCATAAAGGTCCATCAATAATGGACACTCTGTCAAGCTGAAAGGCGTAATATTTTCTAAACAAATGGACGTTTGCTCATTGTTACCTGTATTGTGGTTTGCGTTGTTACTCGTTTGTTGGATCTGTAAAACAGAGAAGTCGCTTTGTAAATTAAGTCACTCAATAAAGTGTAACGCAAATACATAATATATTGTGTGCTTAAAGAACATGTATATAAACATATATACCTAGTTATCAATCTACAGTTAGACGTTTGCTGGCTAAACCGATCTGGACTATATCCTAAGTATAATCGTGGATGCAAGCTCCTGAAAAACCTTATCCTAAAATGAAAGAACTATTTTGTGTTTGCTGGTTTTCAGTGGTTTTTCAACCAGAATCGATTTGTAACATCAAGTAAAATAAATTACTCAGCTTGGATTATTCTCTCAAAGAACTCAATTAGTCAAAGTATTTGAGCAAATCGCTCGTCAACTGTAAATCACAGTGTATGAAAATATCGCGCTAAAATTTGAATAAATAGGTACAATAACAGTAACTAGTTTATTAGTATAAAAATTTTGTTTTTCGATTTTCGACTTAGCAATCCTGCCACTCTTATTTGCTGGACTGGCTCAATAAGATTCATTTAATCCAATTTTTTTTACATCTTTTCAAAGCTTACTAATGCCTGACTAATTATTGAGCACATGAGAAATAAACTTCATGAATTTCTTTACAGAAAGAACATTCAAATTTGGTTCATCTAAGTACTTCATGTATCTAAATGAAAATTAGTTAGCTGCAAAACTACAAGATGTATACAATTATTAAACCGGTAACTAACATAATATACTTTAATGATATAATTTATATCCGTTCTTCTCACTACCATTTACGCTTGGTGTGTTATTTAGACGGTTATTTCGGATTTTCATTACAAAGTAATAACAAAACATCTTAGGTATACAGGAATCACTAATCTTCCGTAAAATATTTTTAAAAAAATTATAAAAGATTTTGTACAGAATTTTGTTTTGATCAAACAGTTTATTCTATACCCACTGTTAACTAGTTTGCTTTAATCATTACTTCTAAACAAGAAGTTAATTGTCTCTGTGATTAATATGATACAGGTCACCAATTAAACACAAATAATTGTTCAAAACACCATTTCTAATTATAGATTTTATTTTTATCCTGGGTAAAATTGTTTTCCTACCGAAAGCATTATTTGCTATCATATTTTAAATTGTATAATAAAAAGGATTAAATTAATTTTAGCTTTGAACTTTTTCATTGAATGAGTTGGTTTAAACCAATTTTTAACCAAATAAATTTCTTAAAATTGTATTACTTTTCTTCAAATCTAATAATAACTAATTTAATCTTGCTTTGATATATTTCACTTAATATATTCTTTTGGTTTTCGCTTAACGGCTACTTATTCAATATTAATAAGTAGCAGCAATAGTAATTTCCTGAAAAGTCAGTTTTGCATTGTCATAGGAACGTGATCTATTGCTGTTTATCTTGGTGCCATTAGAGTATACTAATAAGTTGCCTGAGTTAAAGGTAACATAGATTAGTAAACTCTTGCAGTGTATGTAACTGTTTCTGAGTTCAATTAATTATGCAACCAGAAAGTTGTTAAGTGCAAAAAATTGTGTAAGGTTTTGATTACAGTCGGTTTGATACACCCTAATGGTTAACAAAACAGAAAAGATATACAGAGTTTACGGTCTAAATTATGAGTCGTTTTCATCCATGAGCTCTTATATCTTATTTGATTACTTCATGCTTTCTAACATATTTAATTAAATCTCATATGTTTGATCTGTATTCAGAATTTATTCAATTTTAAGCTGACTATCTTACCAATTTGTTTAAATCATTCTCCGGACGATGTGTTGCTAACGTGCTAAGTTGATAAAAAATAAAAAAAGGATTATTTTCAAGGCTGTAGAAAAAAAATATTTAATGTGGAAAATCATTTTCGAGTTCAAAAAAGGAAACATAAGCTGGAATAATCTTGGAAGTACTCTTGGTTCGTCTAGTAAATGATAGTGTATTCACCTTAACTTTTAATGCAAGTTGTGATGGAAGGCTGACTTCTTTGATATTTGTACTTTTGTAAGCTACTTTTATTTTACTATAATACAGCTGCTTTAAAATGTGTCTTCTCAACACCCCATGATGTTATTCATGTAGTTCTCGTTATAGATTCTTTCATTGATTATATTTCAGTTTATGGCCTATATAAAATACCGTTACAAAAAATGTTTTTTCTCTATCTAACAAAAATAATTTATGATGTTTTGTGAATCGAGATCTTATTGTACTGAATATTCTAAGAATCTCCAAATGTTTTAATCTTATTGTTATTATCGTATTTATTTTTTTCTGTCGATTAATGTTAAATTCCAATGAAAATATTCGTAAGCATCCTTGAACCTCATCATTTGTCTTTCTGTTCGTTTTTCTGTGTATTAAAGTTGAAATAAATCATTATGCCCTAAGTTATGCCATAATTTTTATTGAATACCATAGATAATTTATTTTCTACGAGTCTCATACTCTATTACATTGATCATGAATTAAAGTGAATATCTACTAAAACAACTGTTATTACATGTAATTGTTACCTGCTACATTCTGGTGCACAGATGGATGAACATGTGCATGTATTTGACGGAAATAATTTTGCATCTTCACAGTATTTATGTTTGCATACAACTTGATTACTCGCAATCTTCTTCCCATTACGCACATGAGTCAATTTCTCTTTACGAACAATATTGTCTAAAGTTGAAATACAAAAATATGGAAGTGGAAGTAAAATAACACATTTCTTATTCAGAAAAAAAACGAGAAGAGAGAAGTATTTCACTGCAATTACTTTTTCATGAAGGTTCTACAGCAGTATATATATATATATATATATATATATATATATATATTCGGGAGTGAAAACAAAGCCGGTACGAGTCAAGTGATGATGAATCAGTTAACTGCAAAGAATAACAGAACATTTAAAAGACGAGGTGGATAAAATGGCTAGTATTCAAAGATAAATGAATGCATTGGAATAGGTACTTATAGACATAGTAGGTCGATTCATAGCCGTAGATGTGAAGGAAGTGTTTAAAAATTGCATCTCTGGAGTGAAAATAATCTTTTTTTACTTCACATTTATTGTTTTTATACTAACTCAAATATAGAGGTATGTATATAAAAAATGGTGACTGCATACCATTCTGCCTACCGAGGAAATAATAAGTTGACGAATGATAAACCATACCATGATGGTAAATTCAAACTGATTAAATTCATATTAGAATCATCATGTTTTTCTTGAATATATCAGTTAAATGGTAAGCAGATAATTATCCTCACTCTGTATACTCTTCCCCGATAATGAAAGGATTTTCTATTGTTAGTTCAAAATCATACAGTAAAACTTGACGTGATATTCTCATGAAATAAGTTAGTATGATTACAACCTTCGTCGCCAAATATTTAATTAAGAATAAAATTCGCAAAAGAATTACTTTCAAACCATTTTTAAAGGGAATACTTGTAAAATGTTATTGAAAGATTTACTGAATTTCCCAGATCTACTGTATCATAAGACATTTGAGATAATCAATAATTATTTCGTCTGGCAACTGGATAATTTTTATTACATAAGTAAATAGTTTTTTTAAATTGGTGTCTACATAAACTTGTCGCTAACTATAAAGTATTAAAACAAGGAATTCATCAGGTCATTTCAAAATTTATAACACATTTGCTAGTTTTCTGTATTCATCAGTTAAATCTTAATCTTGCTGACTTGCAACAAAGATTCACAAGACAAAATTTGTGGTCTATTGTAAAACATGCTAAATTTTAATAAGTTTAACCTTCAACAAAAATTAAATTCTCCGTCAGATGATACTTAAGAAAAGGATAATCCTTTGTATAACAATCAATTCGAGTAATAAATCTTAGTGACAGTATAGCGATACGTCTGATTAGCTTATAAATTAACGGCTTTAAAAACTTTAGATAATCGTCTTTAATTTTTCTTATTGTCTTGTAATTCCCTTTATCAGAACAGATATTTTATCGAAAAAGTTGGTTTTGAATAGACGTTTATCAATTACAGGTTTACATGTATCCAGTGGCAGAACTTCAATTACTTTCTATATTTATAATACTTCCTTCAGTAGAGGGTAACGCTAACAGTTCTCAACTTTTCACTAGTGTTATCCTCACTTGTTAGTTACACATGATGTTGCGACAAAAATAAAACATATTAATCCATCAAGAATCAAGAATCTTAATTAGTGGTCGGGAAAACTTCAGTGGGTTATGTTATTGGAGCGATAACGTAGGATAAATATTAATTATTGCCGATGTTAACGTAACTCTACACGCGGCTTTAATAAGTAATCAGTAACATACAAAATTAGCTTGCTAATTTGAGTGACATACAGCAGATGAACGAAAAGAATATAAAAATGAGATAAAAACAAAAGGAATTGGACAAAATTTCTAAAATACACAATTCAAGTTTAAAAAACTTTCTTCTTAAATTCACCTTTAAACTGTTTAATAATATTTTTGTAATTAGATATAAGAAGATGGCTTGTTTTATCAGCTACATTTCTAGTACTAAAATTAGTTTCAATAGACCATATAAGGTTAGGCATGATGTAATTCTTAGAACATTCAGAACTAAATCACATTTTTGTATTAACTGTTAATTTTTTTTAAACATTAGGTAAGGTATCCATCAACAGTTCAGTAGTTCATGCAAGAAAAGTTTGCATCTTATCATAGGATTTTCGTTTATACATCAAGCATTTTTGAGATGCATGTGTGATCGCTTTATTTTTTCAAACCATGAACATTTTAGATGGATTCACCACAGTCCAGTCACACCAGAAACTCAGAAGTTACGTGCCAATGACACTGGACAACTGTTATGCAAATTATGAAAAGTAGATAACTTTTAAAAAAATGCGAAAAATGGTTCATTGACTGAAATACTCGGTACTAAATACAAAGCTTTAAGGTGCAGTATTTGGTTCTATGTTTGTGTCTTATGGATGAATAATTTAGTGGTCTCTTTAATCAAGAAGAAACCGTTGTTCTATGATTTTTTAATGCTTTAGGATGGAAACTATATTCAACATTCTTCACAAACCCCATTAAAGTATAGAATTTAGGAACAATAAACTTTTTGAACGATGAGTTACCGGTCAATTGTTGTAAATAAGTTAAAATATAAGTTAATGGTAAATTCCCGTTAGTAATTTCGTTTTGTTTAAAACTAAAAAATATAAAGACACTTATGTTGAAACTTTTCAGGTGTATTATTTCAATGGTGTATAATAAGAATGCAGACGATATATTATTCAGTACACTCAATACATTCACAGAGGCTAAACTATAATCAAATCATCCAAAACGAACGTTTAGGTGTGATTATTTTAATGCAAGCAATTGAAGTTAACCTAAAATCGTATACAAAATCCCATTATTCCAGCACTGTCATCTACTAACAGATGACATTTGATTTCCATAGTTCGATAGAAGTTATTTAATGGCAAATGAAACTTAAGCAATTTATTTGTTTCAATAAAAAATGCCACGAAGCAATATGATATATATATATATATATATATATATATATATATATATATATATATGAGCATTTCGAGATTCGTGCCTCATTTACAAGAAATATTTTCTTAATAAGTACCTATGGACAGTTTAAAAAATGATCAGATTAATCTTGATTTCCTTTTCACTATTAAAGTTTAATCATTTACAATATAGAAAAACTAAATGCATCAAATGGTCAAGTTTTAAAGCTTGCTAAAACAAATTATAGTCCTAAACAACTGATATCAAAGCTTCCCTCAGCTAAATTACCAGGTATACAATACATACATCCAGCAACAAAACTGATCTTCAGTTATTGGTAATTGGTAATTTCATAGAAAAGTTACACAATGATGATACTAAAAATTCATTTGACACATTATGGAAACAAGACATTATTTATTTAGTTACAAACGCTTAATCGTTATTCAGAATAATAAATTAATGAAAAAAAAATTAGGTGAGACTATAATTTATGGACGACCTTTGAGCGACGCTAAAGTGAGCATGAAAATGTCCACCTAATAACTAGGATTAAATGAACGTTCTAAAGCAGTGTGTGGAATTATAATTATGATTTACAGTTGATTGTTAAGATTAGGAATTGAATTTAAGGTTTTCATCGTGAACTGACATCAGCTGTAATGACAAAACTCTATTTATCCGAATGAATGAGTGAATTTTGCGCCAAAATCCGAGACCTATTATGTTATACGTGATTGGTTCATCCATAAATTTTATTCTCTCCAACAATTGTATTAGTGAACATATAAATGAAAAAATATAATCACCGTTTTATAAGGTACCCAAGAAGTATTTTAATTCATTGGTAAGAAAATAGTAATATGTTGAAAAAATAAGATCGATGGACTTGCATCATTTCTTTGTTACTGTTATTGCTTCCCTTCAATACTCCATTACATTTTTTCTCTACATTCACAATCTACAAAACTGTCAAGCCCTAAGTAAAATAATTAAAACGATAGTAGAACTTCAATTATGGCATGAAATAATCGTTCCTAAAATATTTCACCATAGTTAAAAAATAGAGTTTTTTTTCCAAAAATACTACAATTTATTCGACTGAACTGGTGGAATATGGTAGATGAAATTCTATTAATCTTAAATAAAAGATATGAAAACACAAACTGCATATCATCTCATTTGTTAGGTCATGAAGTAGAGTTATGAAAGCCAAAATTCCATACATGAGATAGCTCGTCACTAACTTAGTGCCTTTTACCACTAAATCACAACAGTTTATTATGATTCTAGACTTTCCAAGTCAATAAACATCTTTCATTTCTGTCCTCATGAGTATTTTAAGACTGTTCATAAATCTTGAACAAATTTCGCTTTCAGATATGTAACAAATAATAGATTCAGTGGTAAGCTTAGGGACAATATACTGAGTTAGATTATTTTTTGTGATGATATAATCCAGTTTACTCCAAAGATCTCACTTATGCATACTGGAACTATGACTTCTATATACAACATCGAATTATTAGATTGGAGGCCTCATGTCAGCCTGGATTTTACCAGAAAATCAGTTTCATTTAATGTATATTTAATAGATATATAATACTATAAAACTAGGTTAATCTTTGGTGAGCACAAATGTGCCTAGAAGGAAATATTCTTCATCTCAACGAACAAATATGTATATGGTTTAGCGACATTCTTAAGTGTAGTATGAAATTTCTAATCCAACATTATTGATGCATTTTAAAGATGTTTGAAAGTTAACTTAAAATTATGTGCGTACAATTTAAGTGTTTATTAAGGTTTTAATGCTTTTAAAAATTATTACAGATTTATTTAATGTTGCAATGGAGATGAATCAGTCAAGCACGAAGAAATTAAGTGTAAACTTATTAATTCCTTAATTAAGAAAACTACTCAAATCTAAGGAATTCGTTTGAATGAAATTCTAGCAAACAGTCTTTCAAATTCGATTCAGACATTCTCAAAACTAAGAAACATGGTTTATCATTAGCTATTTCATATATCAATAATCTATTTTTTTATAAGAACAATGAGGTTGTATGAAATCAACTTCACCAAAATGTCTCATTCTATTGATTTGTTGATCTGCTCTTGAGCAGCTGCAATTCAGTTTCCTTTACTTAGATTTTAACTGAATTTTTATATTTGGTACCTGATTTTTCACTGGATATGGTAAACTTAGCTTTAAATTGTGGACATCTATGTAATCACAAAAACGGCTGTATTTATGTTACAATCTCTGATATATCATAGCTTTCTTATTTTGTTAGCTTTTGCATAAAATTAAAACCGATTCAATCACTCATTATCAAGGTATTTCCTGCATATATTCAGAAATTTACGTTCATTTCATGATAATAGTCTAGTTCTGAATAATTCTTTTATAGATCCTAACAAACAAAACCAAAGTGTCTTTGATAAATTGCTTGAAGTTTAACTTTTTCACCTACCTATTTACAATACAAACTTGTTTACTTTTTGTCTTTAAAGAAAATTTAAATATTAAGGTGCTGATTTGAACTTTTTTATAACTTAAGCTTCCTGTAATATTGAACCCTTAAAAAACGATTGGTGTATTATATTTTAAAATTGGTTTGCTGAGATACATCCAGGCTAACATTTAAACGTCTCTTTTTTCTGCTTAAAAAAGAGGCTAAGTTTACATTAGCCCCTATCGAATCGTACTTGTTTTTATTTAATATCCATAGCTCAGTGAGTTATAACACTTGCACCTAATATTCATATTTTACCCATATCTTCATCAGTTTAGTTTGATCTATTATTTGAAGAGATTAATTCGTGATCGAATTGTTTCCAATCTGATTAACTTTTCAAAAATCAGTGTTCTTATTTGTTAAAGTATTTTTCTAGTTTTTTGACAAAATGTTTTCAACCGGGTCTGTTGTGAGGTAGTAACTCACTAAAGACAGTGGTGAATGTGTCGCTCAATTTCGTAGATTAGTTGAAGTTAGACATTAACACCGTTGGATACCGGTTAGTGGTCTAGAGGTTAAGCGTTCGCACACGAAACTGATAGGTCCTGGGTTCGAAGCTCGCGAGACGGGATCGTGGATGCGCACTTCTGAGGAGTCCTACAATAGAGAAAAAGGCCGTCCAGTGCTTCCAGGTTTTCCATGGTGGTCTAGATTCAATTAACTCATGACCTCAACTATTAAATTTTTTTTCTGTTTAATTTTTCATTTAACATCGACAGAGAAAATATGTCTCAATATTTTCAACAAAATGCAGTAAAAATGAATAAATAAAACATACCATAAATTTGTTTTCCCGGTGATTTTGTATGTTTACCATTCAGAATGTATTCCAAATTTTCACCATTTATCTGGCTTATACCATATCCGAAATCCTTATATTGGTATTTCTCAAAATCCTGTTATTAAATACGAAAGATTTCTGAGTATTCATTAATTTCATATGAAAACTCAAATTATGACGATATTAATTCGAGCAAATTTATTAGAATAAACAGCATAGAATTATTTTTCTGTGAGATGTTTGCTCAGGTACAAATCCTTAGCCTAGATTCATTTGTCGTTCATTACCTAGAATATCCTCTAAAATCTTTAATCCCATATTAAGCAGAACCATGAGATACTTATAATGATATTATCAGTACCTTTTTCTGTAGTGTTTCTATAAAATAATTGAATGAAAACATGCTGTATCCGGTATATTACCTTATTCCTCAGTATAAATTATTTATTCCCCCCCCCTCTCTCTCTCTCTTTCGTCTATATACTCATGTTTAAAAAATTGCCTATTCTATTCGGTATAAGAATTCAATTTGAAATAAGCATCTGACAAATGTACAACTAATATAAACTCATATAATTGTCTAATAATATTTGTAAAACCAACACACTAATTTCATGTTTATGACTTTTTAAATGCATTTAGTCAGCTGCAAAAATAAACATAAATATCCTTATATGAAACTGTTTCTTCATTTGTAGGATTGATCATTTTAAGTATTGATGACATCCGAATTACTAAGAACTATACATAAAAAAACAGTTTCTGTTCAGTATTTTTTTTTTAAAAGATCATTTATCCTAAATGAACAAAACAATAAACGCATAAATTAAATTCATTTCATCCTGTTTACATCAGTTGTTTCAAACTTTTATTGATTAAGTACCGGCTTATACAAATGAATCTATATTATTGTATTTTATTGAAAAGTAGGTAGGTAAGTTATATTTATAACTAGGTTAGAAAGTATGCAAGAGGACTAAGAAGTAAAACAGAAGATACAGCCCTTCAAGTTATTCAACAAAAATTATCCTATAATGGAGAATGACAAAAATAACACGGATACTATGGTAAAGTTTCAAATAGGAGGAGATGTAGGTATGTAAACCAGTAAGTGGATGGTGAAAAACAAATAAAAGGTTGGGATGACCTTGGTGAATTGAAAGTTAAGTTTAATTCAGAGCCATGAAATCCTAAAATAATAAATGATGTTATCAGATTTGCAAATAAATTCGGCATATCTTTCAGAGATAATGAATTTACTAGTATAGGGGTTGAAGAGATCATTAAGTTTTTGATTGAGATCATGAACCGATTGATGTTAGATCACCACCTTTGGAAACCTGGAAGCACTAGACGGCCGTTTCATCCTATTGTAGGACTCCTCAACAGTGCTCACCCACGATCCCACTCGCGGGATTCGAAGCCAGGGCCTTCGGTCTCGCGCGAATGCTTAACCAACTGGACCACTGAGCCGGCATCCAATGTTGATAGTGTCTAACATCAACCAATCCACGAAATTGCGCGACCAACCTCCATTGTACTGAGGTAGATACCTGTCTCTACCCGACATGGATTAGCTCCACTGATCACGGCTTCTCACTAGAACTCCGAGAATTCCCTCACGAAGCTAGTCACTAGTGAGCACATGCTGATTACTAGTATATGGGATGCCAGCTCAGTGGTCCAGTAGGTTAAGCGTTCGCGCGAGACCGAAGGCCCTGAGTTCGAATCCCGTGAGCGGGATCGTGGATGCGCACTACTGAGGAGTCCCACAATAGGTTGAAACGGCCGTCCAGTGCTTCCAGGTTTCCAAAGGGGGTGGTCTAACATCAATTGATTCATGATCTCAATCAAAAACATAATGAATTTAGTTAAAATTGTCTTCTTTTCAACTAGTACGTTTATTTCCATCTGATTGAAATCACTGGCTTCTACAGCCTAAATACTTGAATTAGCTTGTTTGCCACACAATTTCACAAGTTTTAAATCTTCCAAATTATGATTTTTATTCCTCAGTTTTAATTCATATGAAATTCAAACTTGAACCAGACACTTTTCGCAACTTATAGAATCAACGGCTTTTTTTCTGTTCATTTAATTTGAGTGCTTTAGCACGAGAAAACAGTTTGACTTGGCGTACAATAACTGCTTTGTAAAAATATACAAGTCTTTCAAAACGGGATGTTTGGTTTTGAAGAATATCTTGTAGGTAGTCCAATGTTTAACATTTTACATATCACCGAAGTGATGTCATCAATTCTAAAATATACGTAAAGAAATGAATGACTGGCTATACTCATTTTTATTATACCTGCCATTACATTTACAGGTTAACATTTTTATTATTTTGGTTTGTTTTTAATCATTCACAGCCAGTCTTCCTTGTAGAATGTCAAATGACACTGTGAAATGTTTGGAAGCCGTAAGGTCAGCTACCAAATAAGTGAAAACTAATTTTCAAGGTACATTTAGCTTACATTTTATATACAAGTCCTGACTTTCCTGAACCCCACTTACTGAATATCAGTCCTCTAACAAAACGTTTGGTCAACAAAACTGGTCTTCATATAACAACACGATATCAAGAACTCATTACGTCAACTATGTTCTCAAACTAACAATTCTCATCTCACGAAAATTGGTTGCATCTGCCACTCAAACATAACTCACAAACACTCAAGGCTTTCAAACATTGTCACTGGTTAATCGGAAAGGATCGAGAAATTTAAATACTCTCTTAAATTTTGTAAATTATACACAAGTTTATGGTGTAAAACATATGGTAAACTAGGAGAATTCTATGATCTGCTGAATAATCTGATTATTCTAATTATCAGTTGCTATTCAAGAATAACATAGAAACTGCAATGTATTTTAAATTGTGGATCATCGATGAGATAAATTTACGAGCTGGCAAATGATGTTAGTTCCACCCGTTAGATTTAGTCGTGTTTAGTATTGCTATGAGGTATTTTATAAAGATAACAAAAACACTTCGTTAGTGCAGTCAGATAAACAACTCAGTGGACAGCAAATAAATGTTTCTCTCATATACATCTGTGCTTTTAGGGAATCAACTTATACAACTAGAGAACAATGTAATCATGATAACTATCAATACACTTAAATTGTTAAACTGATAGTAGTTTTGTAAGGACTCGGTTAGCTAAAGTCGTTTATGAGCCAATAAATTGTGCGAACTGGAAAATGACGTTTGTAGTGATGCGGTGTATTCTACAGTTCACATTCATCCAACAAGCATTTTATGCCCATCACCATTCAAAAATCTGTAAAGATATGTGAATAAATCGTGTATTTTAAAGTGACTGTGATTCAGTGATGCTGATATGTAGAAGAGACTGTGAAAATTCATTCTTCATGAAATCTGAATGGTAGGTTACTTTGTACACTTAGAGTTGACTGGATTCCATAATTACATTTCCTAATTGTTCAAAACATTTGTAAACCTATGGCCAGTTAGCATCTTTACATGGTGTTAGGCAAGTATAGAGTCACCAGCTTATTAAATTCAAACTATGCTGTGATTCTAAATTTTATTTTCAGAATGAATCAAACAGGTTAAATTAAATGAGTTAAGAATCGTCATATTAAAGCCAACTGTAGTACGACTCACGTTAAGGTCTTCATAATTATTTTTTGTGTGAAAATGCTTCACTTTTTTATGATTTAATAATTGGTTGTCACTTTTGAATTTTGCATACAAAACTGTATTTGAACTCGATTCAGCAATGTTCAGTGACTTTTCAAGTTCAGATTCCAGTTCAGTATATTCATCTGGAAGGAGGTATTGTTTGCACATTTTCCGTGACAATTGTTTCATGATGTGATTTAAATTTGAAGCCAATTTACTGTTATCATTAATTTGTGTATGGTTTGACTCGGAAAGCGTCAATTCTTCAGCTGAATTCACATTTGTAGACATAGAGTAATTATTAGTGTCACAGTATTGCCTTTCTTCTATGGACTTATTTCTTAATAAATCTTCATGAATATTTTGGTTGGTAGTAGGCAATACCTGAAAAAAAGTGAATTTGGCGATTACATCTCACATGAATCTCTGTTTTATTCTGTGAAATAAAAAAATCTAAAAATTTCATCGAAGCACAGTGTTTATCACATAAAAAGTGAAAAGATATTCCAAATTGGTTTAACGAGATTAACTTTTGTCATGAACCCATAGTGGACGCTCAGGTCATCTGAGAGAACCATTTAAGTGCATATTGTAGGGTTTTGTTGGTTATTTAAAAGAATAAGGTTTTTCTACATCATCCTGCCAATTTAAAAATGTTAGAAACATACAAAAACTCAAGTATAGTAAACTAATTTATTATTTCATGCAAAATCAAACAGTGCCTTTATAAAATGTGGAAATCATACATTAAATACTTCACTTGCATATCTACCTTGAGTTGTCCTTTACACACTCTATCATTTTACCAATCCCGTCGTAGTTCTGATTGCCTTTCTCTTCTATTTGTTTCAATCTTCTGCTGGCAAACATTCCACTTTCAATTCCTGCTGCATACTTCTTATGTCTACCCGCATAAGTAGCTCACACCACACAATAACTAGGTTAGATTTATGTGTTGAAACCTAATTGCAATCCATCGTAGACTTCAGTTCAAATAAAACTTACCCAAGTGATAGGAATATAAACTTTGTATAAGTTTAACCTACGAGAAAAGTGTTTAACCTTTTTGTTTTAAATTTCAAATGATAGAGATATTTACTAATTTCCTACTTTATTATTCTGTTTTGTGAGATTTCAGGTGACTTCTGCTTACTAATTCAGATGAATATTTTGGATACTAACTATGCTCATAACATATTAATAGATAGAGTATTTTATTTTGTTCCTCAAGAAATGCCTTTATATAGTCGATGCTGGAGTAATGCACCACATCAGATTTTTGCGTACATTATGGGACTGAATAACTGAGTCTTAGGTGAAGGAATCATATCTACTCTAATTTACATCTAACATTATATATAAGTGACAACATCAAAGAAAAAAGAATTTACAATCAATATCTAGCTAGCATTATTAATTTAAATATGCAGGCCGTGTAGAAATTCAATACAGTAGAAACGTATAGCAGAAAAGTGTGAAGGGAGAGATTAAACCTAGGTTTTCAGGTACATACTCACTGTCAGTACTAAGTATAGTCTTTTTTAGTACACATATAAACCTGCTTTGTTCTAATTATCATGATGAGATCATGAAACATAACTCATTTACTTTTACTAATGAATCGCATCTTGAGATTAAATATCACTCATTTTTCATTACTATAATAAACTCAATCATTGATATTGATTGAAATTCCCTTCGTATATAATAATCCAATGGAATCAAAGATTATTCTTGTCTCTGATAATCTTATTAATGGGAAGTACAAAAAAACAAAGTTTACAATTTATACAAATCACCCATCCTAGTCAAAATGTTTACTAGTTGGAATCCTGGTATTCAGATAGAAAAGTTCATTTCATTTCTAAAAACAAGGTTAATTCTATTAGTGGCGATTAATTTTGCAAGCTATTTAGTCATAAATAACTATTAGGAACCATTTTAAGACAATGAATTGAACTAATTGCAAGAAACAATACATCGAGATAACGGAGCTCCACGTAGTTTATGAAAACAGCATCTCAGATATTGTAGATGAATGACAGCATGACAATGTACGGAGATCGCTAAGGACAAATATTCAACCCGAAAAGTGTTAAAACCAAGAAACGGAGGAAATTTATGAATGCCGAAAACGTTCTAGAAGTGTATTTATAAATTTAGTCTGTTAAACGCATGATAAAATAAAGTCAAACAACGGTTTAGAACAAGGTCCATCAGGCTCATTATTAGTGGTTAGTCGAAAACAATAGTCAATGGGAATAAAAAGGCGCACGAATAAAACAAAGACAACGAGACAAGAAAGTTTAGCTTTGCCATTAAACCGTTCAGTTTAAAGAAGTCAACACTATAAAGAGAGTTTAATTAAACTACATATTTTTTCCTCATTCTAAAGTGGTGAGATTAAACATACTCAACATATTAGTTTTAGTTTCACATACTTCACACTTTTTGCTATCCTGATTTGTCAAGTTTAATCTTAAACAATAATGAAACTTCTAATTAATCACCACGAAACAAATGTACCTTTATGCTGATACTATTACAAATGAACTCCAGCTAATATTTAGGCCTTCACATTTTTCAATACTACAAATTTGTTATCATGAGGACCACTTTTAAGATATAATATGTCCGCATCGATTAGACCAATAAATTTAAAAGATTACTGTTTCAAATTTCGAAATTACTTTTAACTCAAAATAATTAACGTTAATTACCATATCATCATAAAGATACAAACAATGAAATTTTGTGATCTGCTTTCATGTATACAAATCCGAGATTGTAGATAACAACTACGAGCTGGCGACCTTTATTTTTTTTTAAAAAAATCCCTTATTATTAATTAAATCTATCTCTGAATAGGTTGGTAGAATATATTATTCTTAAACCATCTGTTTCTAAATAATAACTTATATTCATTGTATAAAAAGATATTATAACTTTATAAGAATGATAAAGTATGCGATCTAATAGATACTTCATAACGAACTTGAATGAATAGTTTTTAATTATCAACTTTTATACTCAATAGAATTTGAACAAAGAGAAATATTTGAATTCACTGAGCTCTTGTAGAAGTTAAAGTACTCATAATCTACCAGAGAAAATCATATTTCATTTGGATAAATACTTGATTTGATTACTGATAGCTAAAACCTGATTTAAAATTTAACTATAATCGCTACTAGTATGCTTCATTGCGTTAGTTCCGACTAGGTAATGATGACTTATTTCTTCTTGATGAATAAAAGGGTCTCAGTACAGTTGATTTTGTTCTGTTTAAACAGTAAGTGCAGAATTAATTATTTAACAGATGTTTTCTATGCATTGGATTAGAAGTTGATGAAAAAATGTGATAACGCTTTTACATACCTGGTAGATAAAAATCCCACCTCTAACCACAACAACTGATTTAAAGAAATATGGTGCTCAAAATCGAATGGAAATTCCAAAGAAACCTTTTTCCGTACTGGAAGATTAGTTACTACAAATACGTCTAATCTCTAGGATTATTTGTTTAAATGGTATATTTGTAATGCACACATATGATTCGGAAAGAACTTTGCTCGAGATTTTTCAGCAAAAATACTCGATAGCTCTCCCACCAAACGCAACATTTATTTCTTTTTAATTAATTTCCCATTCTGGATCTGCATTAATATATATATATATTTTACAATTATTACATAATCACCACCAACCAACTGGTGATTAGTTAGGTGACAGTGTTGCAAATTCCGAGTGTTAGGCAAAATAATAGTAAACGATCAACGAAGTAATTTAAAACGGTAAGTGGATAGGCAGTTCTACTATTCAATTATATTGATTCATAAATAAATCGAGACATTTTGTTGTGTAGTCAACATATACTTGTTATACAGTTATATATATCTATAGTTAGATAGATAAATATTAGTGTAGGGTCACGATGAAAAGTTAATCGGGAAGAAAAAATTTGTTGCTCTAATTGTTTGTTCTAAAACCAAGAAGAATGTGATTTTAGACAAAATGGTCAAAATTGAGGAAGTTCCACTTAAGGAGTTTGGTTCACGTAGTAAATAACTGTTCGGCGATATTTGTCTGATTTGGTGGCTTGTTTACTAGGATAATCAAAACAATTGCTATCTAAAGAATTTCAAGTTCAAATCTCTTATGTGAGATCAATAAACTCAATGAGACAAATCAGTAGTTTAACGTTGGAGATGAAAAATATAACTGTAATATTCGATCAACATTCTAGATCCATCACAATACTACAGACTACCAATCACACTTGTATCTGTATAAAAGTTTCCACTTTATGAAGTAATTCAGCCTTAAAATGAAAACCACCTACTGGTACTCAATCTCCAACGATTTTCCAACAAACATATTTTATAGAAATTTAAAGAACAGAAAATAAAAGGAAATTCATTTTAGTTTTAATTTACCCATATTTTGAGTACATCTTCGATTTCACTGTCATAGTTACCATTATATAGATTCAGATGTTGAGTTAAAGGAAGTAATTTTGATGGTGAGTTCTTGTTACTATTCATTTCCGTAACGATTTTGAAAGCTGATTACTTTTTCACTTGTTTGTTGTCTAAATTTAAAAGAGAAACGATAAATACATTTTTCTAAAACAGTAATATCATTTTAGGAGGTTTACAATCAGGCTTCTTACTTTATAGTTGTTTTGGTAATGTATTTAAATTATGTTATCGGTTAAGTTTTCTCCACTGTAATATGTTATTTTAACATACGTTTATGTTATGGCTTAATAATAAAGACTATTTTGGGTTTCGTCATTACAGAAATATACTGTAAGCGCTATGATGTGTATTATGTTCAAGTAGATATTTGAAAGTCAATATTACAAATTAGATGTAAAAAATTCCTATGAGACTACCACATAACAAACCATATACATAGCATATTTACACCACGGTTGAACTAAGCATAATTCCATAAGTACAATAGCTATCCAAATTACTAATATGGATTTAATAATGATTATCTGATAAATGCAACATAACTGAAGTAATTTACACAAAATCAGTTTTACGTTAACAGTTAACGAGTAAAACAGGAATCAGGTGCCTTCAAATGAGCAAAACTGTGATTATTAAAGTTTTCGCTAAAGACAAAGGATACTTAGAATGGTTATATAACTACTTGTATACAAAGTAGAGAATATCTATTTGAAATAGAGGGAATATTAAATTTAACAATTCAAAGGTGATTGTTCATTGGAAATAATACACTTTCATGAAATTCTATGGTTTTCAGAAAATAAATTATTCATTATTTTTCCAGTTGGGTGTATTTATGGCAAAAAAGAAAGAAACTGAACAACAAAATTCGCTGTAAAGATAATGTTTGTACGGTATCTTGATAATTTATTTCAGCTTAGAATTAGGGTATGGTGACTTCATTCTAAGTAATCAAATAAAACCTATGCCTTGGAAAAAATGAATAATAAATGACTAGCAAACTCAACCAATGATATTTTGATGCTCAGTTTTATAATCTTAAAAACAAAATATTGAATTTTACAGTCGTTCAACAGTGTTGATTAGCACGTCTTTTTATAAAACGTTGGCAGAATAAGAATGATTTTTATAATTTATTTAATTGTGTATCAACATACAAATAATTATCAGAAGGGGTTTTATGGAGATTTTAGTAATTTCAGTAGTTTAAATAATTGATTATTTCTTTTAATACTTTTAATACTGTACATGTACTTCGGAGAAATAGGCTACACTATGCCAGGAAACTTCAGAAATTCTAATTTTTATTCAGTGTAATATCAAAACCATATCATTATTTTGTTGCCTTCGTCAATAAGTATTCTAAGAAACGAAATACTTACCACAAATGATAAGTTATGAAACTAATCCGTTACGATTGATAGTTTACTTCAAATTATATCATAAGCACGTTGAATGGACTATAATTATTTGCCCGACAACAGAAGCAAATAAGTTTTTTAAACTGTCCGAAAGTGATTTATTATTATTAGTCATTATTCATTTCGAACGGACTTAGTTCTTATTCAACTACTGTAAAGATTCCAACTTCTCAGAGATTAAGTTAGGTACCGAACTTTTATTAAGTTCTTCTCTTAGGGATATTAGTAACATCTACCTTTTTTCGATTAACGAAGTTATCATTGTAGGAATTTCCGAACTATGTTCAAGAACAATTAGGTGCTCAATCACAGTAGTTCTTCACACTTCAACATTGAAATATTCATGGAATACTAACAGATAGATTTCTCAGATTACATGTTAGAAAATTCATAAAAAGGCCTTACGATAATATTGAATAAAATTACCTATAATATCTACTGCTGAACAAAAAACTAGTTTAGCATGTCATATCAAAACAGTGATTGTATCGAGGGCATATAAATAGACATCATTGGCTTATGAGAGATGAAAACAATATTGACAGTTGAATTTATTAAATGCAATAATAGAATGGCCATCCATAAATAAAAGTATACATAACATATAGGTATTTCTCTATCTACCCTTTAGTCTATAAATAGCACTGTTGTCAGGTTGTACAACACTTAAAGCACACACTAGTGAACTCAATTACAAGAGAATCAAAATTTGACTATAATAAACAGAAATATAATATTATTGTTAGTGCGTTTAAACGGTTTCGGTTTATCTAAGATCATATTAAATATTATTTCTTACTAAAAATGCGTTGTCTGATCCATAAAATTCGGTTAAGTGGAACAAATTATTAACTGGATTACTTCTATGCATCTACTGTCTTAATGTGATGTGTACTACTCACAAGATTACTATTGAGTAAAATATGTTGAGAAGCATCGTAGAAGTTGTAGCAGTCGACATACGCAGAGGGAAGTTTCAGTACATCAATACCAGAGGAGAAGCCAGTTTAGAATTAGCCGGATGGCAGAATACACTGCAAGATGCAAACGAATGACTGAAGGTTAAGCATTTGCATTTTCCAGATCGATAGTACAATCCAACACATGTACACGTAAAATTCGCTAGCATCTACAGTGTGATACAGTCAACATTACACCACCGTTAACACTTTTGTATCTCGTTGACCAAGGTTAATAAGTTAGTGTACACAGAAGATACAAAATGCTGTCACATATTTGTGAACAGTCAAATGAAAAAAATGCTGACAATATCGGTTGTACAATGGCATTGCGATAAGCTATCAGTATATGCATTGTTTTCACTTTATTATTGTGAACAATATCAAGATTTTATTATCAAAGTATATGATCATATGTGATGTAGGTAAATCAATTACAAGTAATTTAAACATATTTTCTAATACCTAGAAATGTTATACGTGACACAGATTACTCCAAATGTTTTTGCCTTGACAACAGAACAAGTTACCTTTTAAATTTTATTCTCAAATACACTAGTTGTAATTTTTCTTTGTCGTAAATCAGATAACTTTTGGAGTCAGAATTAACTTGTAGTTGATGTAAAATTACGATGGAACCATAGAGCCGAAAATTATTAACAAAACGAGTCAATAACTTAAAATCAAGTAGATCAAAGAGAGTTCTTAATTTATTACACAAGTTATGAGCAAGGTCTCTTTCAGCTACGAAACATTAGACAAACGAAGCACAGTAAATGAATTAGGTTCATTGCTGGTGAAATCCTGGAAAACTAGTTTCTTCTAAATACGTTATCAAAGTCAAGTCACTCTATCAATAATGCATAAATGTATATTCTTTTCACCAAAGTTAGCTAACAATGAGGCTACAGTAAAATAAATTCAGCTATATGCTTTCATTTATTTATCTAATGGCTTTAAATTATAATGTTTTTTTAGTTATGAATTGGTTTCCTACATTAGCTCATAAGATTAAATTTCATGATTTTCCATTGGACAGGTTTTTATCAACCTGGATGAAGTAGAAATGTCTTTGTAGCATTGAATCAACGATATGATAATCACTACTCAATTACTAGCAATAATAAACTGAACATTTCACTGTGTGACTTATCATTAATTAAATGATTAGAAATAATAAAATAACCATAATAAAGACGGTTTCAATATGAACCACCAAGTTTATTCCAAGGTGCAATGAATAGTTTATTAAAATAATCGAGTTACCTATGCCAACACAAAACTGAGTCAAACGGAATATTACTTTATTATCAGTTTTTAAATGATAAATATGTTGTTTAAAATATCATAAGAATTCGTTCAAATCAGTTTCTATAACAATAAAATATCTTAATCAATGTAACTAATACAGATTATATACACTCTTAATGATATTATGTTAATTATATTATAATTTATATAAACCTACCTGTTTTACTTTCACTAAAAATATTAATGAAGAAAGGTTCGTTTTATTCTTCTAATTCGAAATTGCGAAATATCGATTTCGAATTTCAATGAACCAACTGTTTCAAAGTTTAATGTTTCTTCATATTATATTTGTTAGAAATAAAAAAGAGTAGTCGTATATTTTCTTTTTTTAAAAGATAAGAACCAATAAAGTACAAATATTCTTATTATTGGACATTTAATAATTGTCATACTTACAATTATAATGTCTAAAAATACAAAAAAAAACCCACTTATGTCATTGTGCTTAAAACGGGGATACTTGTGTATCAGTACTTAGAGAATGCCGATTATATTGATAAAATAAATTATCTATGTGAACGATTTTAAAATAACAGGTATAGTCATGTGAAAAACTCTGTGTAATGCACTTTTCATCATTTATCATATTCCCTAGAATTTAAATAGGTCATCTTGTACAGGCTTGTTTAGATCTTTTCCAGAAAGATTTTTTAAACAAATTAGGATTGTTTCACAACCTCATGATTTATGGGAAATTATTTAGTCTACAGAATGTTGTGCAAATTTTCAGTAGTACAGAATTTAGGTTCAAGATGTTTATTTTCATGAATCATAGTGATGTTATTCTTGAGTTACTGCGAAAGACAATATTTTCCTTTTTACTTAAATCACAATACATAACAACCAGCCACTCATTACCTTCAGCTTCCCTACTGTTTTGTATTTGGTGTCTCATTCCGTGATTACAACTAACTTCATGCTGATTAACTGGGTTTAATTTTAATTATTTATGGGTAAAATATCTTTAGTAAAATAAATGGTTTTATAACGAATATTAATTACCGAGTGTGTTCCTACTACTTTATTATTTATGATTTATTGAGTTACAGGTTCAAAATATTTGCATTCCATACCCGTAAGTTCATTTTCAGTTATCTACAAAAAAACGGATCAGTGGTTTATCAAGTATACGAGTCAATATTTCCGTATATTAGTAACACAAGGGATGTGGAAACAAATTTTATTCTCCTATAATTAATTGATTGAAAATTCCTCAATATTTAAATCCACAATTATTGTACCTTTACAGAATATCAGGTGAAAAATATTCCCCATTTTCACTCAGTACTATTTTCCTGCACTTCGCATGGCACTTACAAAAGGCAACTTGATTTAATAGGCTGAGGTTGGTGATATTAGGAAAACTACTTACCTTTTAGTTTAATGAAAGGACAAAGTAATTCATGTGGTACAAAAAATTGAAATTATTCGGTTAAATTCTTCAATGTGTATCCAGTGCTCTGTTGGTTCGAATTTGTTTGGATAAAACGTGAAAGGTACTCATGTTTTCTAAACAACATAGTATTTTGTGAGTGTTATATATATAAAATCTGGAAATGACATAAACATCTCAACCGTATCAGATGTGTGATGCGGTCTTGTCTGCCTGTGTATAAAATACGTCTGTTTGAAATAAAATATAGTAGATGGCTTTAGACTCAAGGGCAGGGCTGAGAATAGCTGGAGAATCGTGCACCAACAAGAACTAGCTGTTGGTCGACGGTTAATAGTATTGATTGTGTGTATTGGCGAAATCCGAGAAACTAGGCCTTAGAGTATATAGTGAACGCAAAATAGACTAAATTAGGATCAGGATTCTGATTGGAGGTCTGTCACATGATATTGGACGGAGATCACAAGACAGTTCATAGTAAAACTTAAATCTAGTTTCTGTAATATAAGTAACCCTATTGGGGACTTGTTAGTCTACTGATAACGCCCCTATTTTTATTTGATGCAATGTTTAGTTGGAAAAATCTTTTGATTAAGTTACAAAAGTACGACTATTAAAGATTCCCATTGTGAAAATTAGAACAACACATATAAGCGAACAATTGTTTTCAATTAGATCGTCATCAGACTGTCGAGATAAGTGCCCCTTGATTGCTTCGTGTTATTTTATATGATAAACAGTGAGAAGCAGCAAGCCAATAATGAAACAATAATAAGACTGTGCTATGCCAACGGCCTTGAGCGACTAATCAAAACTAGGCTAACCGATGCGTAAATTTAAAACGCTGTTCCGTATAGCTTGTTGCTAAAACTCATGACTTTCATTATATTTCGTATTTCAAAAGCATCAGATGATGTCTTCATTGTCGAATGAACTATTCAGTTCAGTGTATTTGGGTTAGGAGTTTGCCGTTAGGATCTAGGGTTAAGGCGTTTTAGGGCTAGGAGCCACAGTAGAGGGGTTTTAGGGTTAGGATATGGGGTTTAGGAGTTTCAGGGTCAGCATGTATGGATGAGGAGTTTTTAGAACTAAGAGTTAGGCTTTAAAAGATGTAGAGTTAAGAATTAAGGTTTATCCTGACTACAGAACTATGACAACAAGCCTAAATTATCAAGTCAGTACTGTTGTTTTCGAAATTCGAATCCTTTGTATTTCTATCATTTTTCTATATTTTAGAGCTCTCACACGAAAGGCGCATTCTCATTGACTTTTATTGATTAGCTAGTCTCAAGGCAATCCATTAATTCGCTAAAGGTTTTCGGTATATTATAGTCTTGCCATCGAGTGCTACAGAGACAATATTTATGGAACACTGTTAACTTCGATCAATCGTTTTTAAAATTGATCTAGAGTCCCTATAAAGCAACATATTCACTTTTCTGATAAATTTGAACATGCAATAAGCTATTTTAGAAGTTTACCGGAACTCACAATTAAGAATGATACTTTAAGACTGATACTATATTCACTCAATAGGCGATAAGATGCCGATCAAAGTAAAATACAGTTTTGTTAAATGCCAGTGATTGTAGGTGACAAAACTTTTACGCGATTACAAACACTCAGAACACTGATAAGACAATAGTTGGCGTTTGTTTTAAACGTCACTGTGATAAATAAATATTCAGTATATCCCAATTGTTTAGAACAGGTACTCTTCCAGCTGTTTAAAACAATGTTAATGTAAGTATTTAGTAAAGTGGTAAGGAAAAACACCATTTTGACAAACGTTTCAGTTGACTGACCAAATGTACTTACTTTTTAGTGGATGAAAATAAACAATACATTCCTTAAACTGAACGGTTTATTTATGATCAATTACATTACAGATGTTCTACATTAAAAAAGGACTCATCAATTTATTAAAAACTACCCTAAGATAATTTGTGATTACGTATTTTGTCTTGAGGTAATAGTCATGTGAAATCTTTGAGTCAATGGTTTCATACTAAACTACAAAACCTATATGCAATACAACACTGCTGGGTAGTGATTTTTCGTAAGCGAATTTATGACATGTAAGTCGTTCTGTTTAGTAATCATTACATAGGTTTATCAGAACAATATTTGATTCTAGTGTAACTAAATCCAATACACTAATTCAGAAATCAAGACATTGTATTTTCGGTTACTGAGTTACGCTAACCTCCTTTTTCAGTTAATATTTTTAGTCCCGTTACTGTAAAAAAGAGAAATGAACGTCTGAGTTTGTATTAAAAAAAGCATAAACAACCGAGATTTTTATCGATAATGATGACGATTCCTAGGTGGAAAAAAAACATGAATCTCACAACAAGCAATGATGGTCGAAGCAAAGCCAGATTTTGTCGAAGTATTCCATTTTAGATAACCAGTAATGTGCGTTAATACGGAATAGGAATCACAACACTAGGAATTTAGGGTGCTAACTGATGTAATTTTGTATGTTACTAAATAGTGATGAATATGGAAAGCTTATTAAGTTGGTTACTGTTTAAATTAGTTATGCTGCTGTACTTCTACTCAGTGATACAACATTAACTGTAGCCTTAATCTTAAATGCGAAAAAAAAGCCACGAAAGAATTGCATTTTCGAATAACCAAATTATTTCAGATTGATATTTGTACAAACTATTGATTATATCCATTCTCAAGTATTGTCTCTTTATCATGGTTTGAAAAAGTTACTTGAGGGACAAACAGAGTTATCTGATGGGTATTAGTTATTAACTTGCTTTCAAATTGTACAACCTTAAGGTAACCTGACGAATCAATTTCTAGCATTTCTTATGAAAAAGTGTGATGATCATCTTTCAGATAATAACTAAAGATTAACATTTTCCTGAACAATGAAATTCAAATTTATTTGAGTCTTCAAAGTTAATTTACAACAGTTTCATTAAAACTTGTTTGTCAGTAAACGCCGTGCTAAAAATATATCAATGAATGTGCGATAAATACTTGACGTCACTAGCTTTAATGAGTTAAACTAATTGCAGATAGGAGATTAAGTACCGATAACTCACTGTGTATTTAAAGCTGTTTGTACAAGCTCTTAATCTAGTCTTCCAAGTTATCACGTCCTTGAGCGAATGAACTTTCATTCGGAGGCTACTAACTTATTTCTAATTCATCATCAACCTGGTATATACGAAATATAGGGGTTAAACCTAATGAAAGCTTTATAACAATAATATTTGGTGTTCTCAAAGCTTCTGACGATTTTCTTCCAGACGGTTTCAAATGAATGGAAATCTTTTTTCACAATCCATTATAAAAATAATCCCATCGTACAATGATGATCATAATTTCTCAGATCCAAGTTAAACAGTTCTCAGTCTGTGTACGCAGTAATTACTGAGATTAATAAGTTTTGGTTGGTTTCACCTATACTGCTTAAAACAGCAGTATCGTTCAGTTGAATAAATTTGAGTACTACTTGAAACTAGTTCCTAGGACAGTGCTTAATAATCAATGTGATTCAACTTTAACAACGCTATGAATTAATGTACTGGTCTAGGACTCAAAAATAAGTTAATACATCTTAGCAATCTTTAACTAAACTTCAATATTGTCAAGGAAAGCATACAAAAACAAACATGTATTTACTTGAATTACTAATCTGATCAACGCTATCCAGAGAACACTCTGAAAATGATAGATGAATAGTAGAAATGAGATGACTGTTGACTTGATTTTAACATTTTAAAGTGTCATGAAGGTAAGTGCTAAAATAATCAATTCGAAGGCAGCATCGTTAATTATTGAATCTAATTTTTCAGAAGTTGAATTTACCAACAAAGCTAAATAAGCATCGCTAAAATGTTTCTCTTAATACAATAACACCAACTTTTCACTAATCCTCCATTTACCACTTATCAAAGCTCTCCGATGATTTTATGCATATTTCTTAACTACATTCTCATGAACACAAAACGTTTTGTAAATTTGCTACTTATCAAGTTCCAAATAGGTTAAATCGATGCCTCTTCCTAGGCTGAATTCAATCTATCCTTTCATAAGCACAAGGGTAAAATATTCACTCATCATTTATAAAAGCTATCCAAGGTAGGATAGACCGTGCGTCGCCTTTTGCCAGAGAGTTTTCTTGTTTGATTTGAAAGCCCTATCAATGCATACCTGTATATCAAAATGAGCACTTCAAGAAACACCTGCTTTCATTTCTTGATTAATGTTTACTTCACAGCCATATTGGTTTCAGTATAATTTATCTGATTTCCAGGATGCGCTTAAACTACTAACCCTCCTTCTAGTTATCAAGTAAAAGTATATTTATAACTTCTTCAAATTTAGTTCACTACCTTATACTGACTAACCTACTTAATTGTAATAATTCCTTTCAGACAATATTCCTTTATAGATTTATCACAACAAATAAAGTTTTGATGTTGCTTGGAAAATACTAGGCAGTTAAATAAAATAAAAATATTTTTGGACTTTGTTGTTGATTATATTTACTGGTAGACAATAACATTGGATATTACCGGATATTTTAGCACTCTATGTATAATCCACTGACCGTATTAAATGATGCGAATGTTTTATGTTAACTAAGTTATTAAAAACTGTTCATACATCATCGTCAGAAACCCAAACATAGAAAGCAGTACTTGATGAAATTAGTTCAATTTCATTTATGGTGGAAGAGATTCTGTTCCTACACTGACTCAACGTCAATACGAAGGATACAAACTTATTACATCAGTTTCGTTATGAAGAGTACAATTTTCTCGAAAAATACAAACTTGTTTTCTCTAAAAATTTAAAATCATTGGAGAATTTTATTCTTCTTGAAAACAAAATTTGTGAAACAGACTGTTGGAAGAAAAAGTGACTCAGAACTTCGTCCTCAAGGAAAAGATAGTGACCTTACCATGCGAATGAAGAAAATCCAATATCTGTTCATTTAGTGTAAATCAAAACGATTATGTGGTGCCTGTTATTAAGATGTTTTAAGATATATTTGTGTCCCAACAGCGCGGACTGTTTGACCACATGGTCGCACTAGGTATTTCATTTGAATTTACCTCAACGATTTAATGAACTCACAAGGATCGTGTTTCGGATATTCTTAGACTTTGATCTCTGGTATATATGCATTAAATAAATCGCTTATCCTTTGTCTGGCTCCATATCATTACAAAACTGGAACAGATCAAAACATTAATGGTATCCTGTTTGTTGTTGCCACTTGGACGCCTATTGACTGCAGCGAGAACCAAACTTTTTGTTGGAAGCCGTTATCTACAGCAAACATACAGCTGGAGAACCCCATGGAAATTAGTCGAGATAGTGTCAATGAGATATTCAGAAAAGGATTAACTATAGAATTGCTGAAAGCCCACATTTTAAGGGGGCTTAGCATTATCTCCAGCTTGTTGTAGAAATCGTAGAAACGACTAATAGAAATCCCAAAGGTTTAAGCGATGATCGCGAGTCGTCAAGCATTAAGAAAGCAATATGGACGGAAAAATAAGTGGTGGTGGATAGAAACAGACGGTCTTTTAAACCTATTAAATACTCTTACGACCTGCCCGTCCGAATTAGCCATGATATCCGCCCTTTCTAACCTCTGATTCAACTAGCCTTTAGAAATTGAAAAGTCCGAGAATGCGTACTAAGAATTAAGAGATCAGCATTTGGAAAAAATGTCGCATTAGACAAGCCGTCTAAGTTGATAGACAAAATACTGTTGGGAACATTCCAACTGGTTTCCAACTACCCTTAGTTACTTTTACATGATGCAGACAATGAACCTCCAAGTAGCAGCGAAACCTGATGCACCGAAACTTAGTTGGATTAAGAAAGAATATAATATTAAGATGAGTTAACTTGAAGACTAAAGATATTCGTGATATTTTATGGGTTAGACGGACATTTAGAGCTTAAAACCTAAGTAATTGTCGGCGTATACGCTACTATATTGGCTAAAAGTAGTCGGAAACATATCCAGACAGAAAACGTAACCAGAAAATGGAACAAACGTTTTTGATAGTGACTTTGACATTGAATGATTAATAAATGATGAAAATCAACTTCATTAATTCAAGTATCCATTTCTACTGCAGAAAGTACTACTTCTCAGAGTCAGGGACTGTGAGTTTAGTTCAATCATTGTTAACTGAACTTAGAAATTGTCTGGATTACAATTAGTTCATATATGGTGTTCGGAATTCAATAACTTTATCTAAACATTGACCGAAGGTAAGATTCGGGGAACGTACCTTAATTTAGATTGCATGGTAACGATAAAGAATACATTAAATATGAACTAATAGGTTAGTGTATTGCCACTCAGAAGTCCATCAAAATTTCAGATAATCGTAAGGCATAGTACGAAGAAAATTATACTTCAATACTATATATATATATATATATATATATATATATATATATATATATATATATATATATATATATATATATAACCAAATAAAGCATTTAAAACACGTTTTTCCAATCCTTGATGGAAAACTGAAAATGAGAACTTTATCTCCCTAATATTCGAAATTAATAATTATCTTAATGTGGTTCTCCAAACCTTTTCCGGAACTTAGTTGTGTTATCAAATCCTTATTGTATAAATAAAACTGACGATAAACAGATATGACGTTACACAATAAAGATTTAACGAGGTGAATAACTTCAGAAAAAGTTAGAAAGCAAATCAATTTGTTGAGTATGATAACTATAATTAACACTAGTTACAAAATGCGCTTGAGTTTATATAGTGGTTCGATTGGATCACCAATTACATGAACAAATGGTTTATAAATTACTTCGCCATCCTTCACTTTATCATATAAAGGGCTGTCAGGAAACGGTGAAAGCTTCTCTGTACTAATGGTAAAACGTCCATTACTTAGTGCTACTAAGTTCCATGTTTCTGGGTCTAATTTGACAGATTCACCCGGGTATATTTCCATACCAAGCTAAAAGATTGGAATAAAATTCCACAGTAAACTAATACAGTAATAAATGAAAATATCTTTGAAAAAACATTATGCACAATATGACTATTGTGGTTTAGTTCGGAATCCTGTTAATTTATATTTCCAACTAACTAACAACTCTAGGTTGTTACTACAAAATAATTCTTAGAATAATAATTTCTCCATTAGTTTTATGTTATTCTACCTGATATTTTGTCTAATGTACATTTGTACCTACGGAACCAGTAAATATGATAATGCAAAAACTAGATATATAAACCGTGATTAACAATTCCACAGGTACGGAACATCTAGAATGGTCAGTAGATTGTTTTGATTATTATCATTATTTTATGTATTATTTAAAAATAAAGATATTGGCACAAGGGGGGCACCAAAATAGATATGCGTCACACAATAAGTAAATGAGATTGTGAAAGAATATAGGAAAGAAGGTGAATATAGTCTTTATAAACGCAAGAAATGAATAAAAGTAAGGGAATGAGAGTAGTAGGACTAGTTCAGTTAGGAAAATACAATTAGGAAGAATTCTTTCACTTAAAGAAGTTTCTCTCACTTTTTTAGAGAAATTAAAAGAAAATTACAGCAGGAATATCACTGGCTTTTATTATGAGCTGTTTAATAATGACTCAAACTACGATATTGCACTATATCTAGGAATCCAACCAGGAAGCCGTGGAGGGCCGAAGGATTCCAGTCTTATACAATTTTCTTTCATGCCGAGGCACTATGTCATAAATTGATTACCTCTCCGTCTTTCCAACTACTTCTAGAGTCTGCAAATAATGAATAATTTACAATTTGCCGGAACAACATTCATGGAGTAGGGCCCAAGCCACCAAAGCCGGTAGCACCATTTGGATTACCATCATTTCGCACGAACACAAGCAGCCGGACCTCTGTATTGCTAACGTGGTGTTACGATAGAATGTCAGCAATCCTGTGAAAACAACGATCATCAAACATAGAGAGCTGTCTAACATCCTCAACCCGGAAGCCAGGTTTCACAAGTATAGACAGAAACTGCTCTAAACGACGCACCGTAGACCCAACTTTCCAGTCTGACTAATATCACGAAGGCTGCAACAATAGCCCAGACTGGCATAGGCTACTCTGGCTTTCACTAAACGTAAGTTGATCTCATCAACCATGACACCACTAGTACTTACTAAATTTTTGGTTACTTCCAACTGCTCACTACCAAGAAAGAGTGCAAGCACATGCTCCTGTCAGTCTTGCAAAAGTACTTAGCACTTAAAATTCAAGATAGCTCTCAACAACAGGTTCCAAGCCTTACAGGATCTACACAAACAAGGAAAAACTACTATGGACGACAACTGGAAAGAGATCAAAGAATCACTAACTTCAACGTGTCAGGAGGTTCTAAGCGCATCTGACATCATCATAAGGAATGAACCACTATAGAAACCTGAACAAGATTCAAGAAGAGAAGAACGAGAGGACAATAATTAACAATGGCGGAACAAGAACAGAGAAGGTCAAGGCACAAGCTGAGTACACAGAAGCAAACAATAAAATCAGGAAGAGCGTCAGAGCTGACAAGCAGAAATACATGGAAGACCTAGCAACGACAGAGGAAAAAGCTACAAGAGAAGAAGCATAAAACAAATATATGACACAACGAAGAAACTAGAAGGGAAATATAGTAAACCAGAGACACCAGTCAACGACAAAGAAGGCAAGCAACTCAGTGAGATTCAAGAACAGAGAAACAAATGGGTCGAACACTTCGAGGAATTCTTGAATCGACCAGCTCCACTGAATCCACTGAACATCAAAGCAGCACACACAGACCTTCCTATAAATTGCACTCCACCAATGATCGAAGAAGTCAGCATGACAATCAGACAAATCAAGAGTAGGAAAGCAGCAAGACCTGACAACATACCAACCGAAGAGCTGAATATAGACGTAGGAGTAACTGCAAACATGCTCCACGTTCTATTCAGGAAGATTTTGGAAGAAGAACAAGTGCCACTGACAGACTGAAAAGAAAGATACCTCACCAAGATACAAAGAAAGGAGATGTGAACACGTGTGAGAACTACGGAGGCATCACACTACAATCGGTACCAGAAAACGTTTTCAACAGTGTTGCTGAACCGGACGAAAGGTTCAAAAGACGCCCAACTTTGAGGTCAACAGCTTCCAGCTGAAGTGGAAATTATGGGAAGACGATAGAGGTGCATAGGACATACATTACGGAAGTCATCAAACTGCATCACGACGCAAGCGCTAGCTTGGAATACTGAAGGGAAACGGAAAAGAGAAAGAGCAAAGAACACACTGCGTCGAGAATCGGAAGCAGATATCAAAAGGATGAATAGCAACTGGAAAAGATTGTTCAGAGCCGAGTTCGATAGAGAATGCTGGTTGGCGGTCTATGCTTCTCCACGAGGGGTAACGGACGTCAGTAAGTAACCACTCTCAAACCTTTGACCTGGAGATCTAATTTACAAGCTGGTGGAGCAACACTTAAAGGTACAGTTCCATGATAGCCGGTGACCAAGAATAGGTTTGTGAGCTACTCAACTCCTGAGGTCGCTGGAGCCCATGTACACCATTGGTTTGAATCAGTGTTTTTCAACTCCTCCAGGTGGATTTTATGTATCCACTAACCCGATGCGAGCGCTGGATATTCGCTTTATCCTCTTACTTCCCTAAACAATACCCCTACCACGAGAAGGCAATTAGTACGAATCCCTTGGCCGTGGCTATATGCGAGTGGTTATATGAGAACATTCCGAGAGTGGACTCTCCCAATCCTCAACTGTACCAGGGCGCTTTTCACTTCATAGGTGCTACGAAACGTACTAAGAGAAAATACTAACAGAGCAAACTCTACAGAACAGTGAAAGTCTCTTCAACTACACTGGGAAACTTAACTGAGTGAGTAACCAGAAAGCAATTTTTGGTACCAAATATTTTAGTTAAATTTTGTATTATATTCTGCTTAATCATCCACTATGGATTGTTTTGATAGACTGGATATGTGGACATCCTCCAAACTTGTGTATATCCTACGACTTTATACATGATACGATGAGCCAATTACACTTAAAAGATATGAATAAAACAAACTCGACAAAATAGATGATCATTACACTGGATTACAGGTCACTATTAAAATTGGAGAAAGCGAAAACAATTGTGAAACATAAGTATCCTCTCAGCAAACATGGGCTGTTTACAAATGCAAGACATACCTTGGGTGAATCAAAGTTAGTCGGCCAAGAATTAAGATTCAAAGAATCTATATAACAATGTATAGACCTTAAACATATACCGCCTAGAATCTTCATCGATTGAGGTGATTGGGACATGTGTTATGTACGCCCGACAACGTTTTAGATTGACAGGGAATGCTATCTGTTGTAAGAGAAAGCTGCAAGAATGCTAGGGATAACCAAAACAAGACGTGATATCAGTCCATAAAGCCAGCGACTATTTGATTGACTCATTGTGGTGGATGCTGACCACTTGGTTGAAGTCCGTGTGATTGGTGGTTGGAGTAACATGACCCAGAAGCGGTCATAATGAAACAAACGTGCCAACTTCATCGTACTCTGGATCTGTAGTTCATTATCCCTTCATATATCTCTTCTCATTGTCGTTTCACACCACACTCCCCATATTTGGTCTTCCTCATTAGCACTTACCACACTATTCCAGTCTTCCTTGTCCTAGTGTAATATGGAAACTTCGGATAAGGCGCATTTGTGCCAAGCTTTGTATTGGTCATGATTGACGGACTGCTCATGTGTTTCACGTAGTCATCCAAAAAACACTACAAACTACCCAGCCCTAATGACATATTCTACAAAAGAGAACAATTTCATCTTGTCAGATCCTTGTCAGATGGTATTCTATGGATATATATACGTCCACATGTTACCCTCTGCTTTATGCATACCTTTATCACTTGCAACAAAATAGAGATATCAACAGCACAGCCGTTACAAAATTATTCACGCTTTACAAATGAACAAAGACCAATAAAAACAATGTACCTGCCGAACTAAGATATCACCTTTATAGACATAATCTCCATCATTAAACTGAAAACCACGAAGAGTCTTCACAAGTACAGAAGGTCGGTACCTAGAAGGGGTCTCGGCGTAGTTTTTCTTTTTTTTAACCCCTGCGCATCTGAAAGGTTGTCTAAAAAATACTGAAAACGTTGGAAAAACTAAACTTTATTACCTAGTTGAGCTGAGCGTAATAAACTTCCACTGGACAAAGACATAGCAAGATGGTTCCTTTGAGAATGGGCAATCTGAAACAGAAGACTTTATGTCCGTGTGGTAGGAATGAAACTCTATGGTATACTGTATGGATATAAACATACAGGCGAATGGATTGGTGTCCTAAAAGAAACTAGTTTCGATTACATAAGCGTTATACTAGTGCACCGTCTTTAAAAATGACTATGGCAGATATTGGTACGGTATTGTTTAATGGATGACGTTTCGTACACAATTTATGATATGCCATTCAAAAAGCTTTAAGATTATATCTTATAAACTCAATAATATTCTTTTTTCAGATTCATTGACAACAGGACCCTCCATATTATCTGCATATAATTTTCATGGAACCGTTCTTGATTACCTTTTTCGAAGCAACGGCTTAGGTATTGATGTAATGGACGGTATTCACAAAGGTGTTTATTAGTGTGCATCAGGACGTGGAGTCGAATTTGCAGCAATCATCTAACAGAGTGAAGGGTTTCAGTGCACAAAAAGCAGAAAACTTGGAAGCTAGTCGAGAAAACAGTCCAGACTGCATAACACACCGGAAGCTGCAAACGGACGATTAAATGCTATGTGTGAGTACTATGTAAAGGTTTTGTAACTTCGCACAATGGCCACACATTCCTCCTGCCTACTGTCATGCTTTTCATTGAAAGCACTTGGTTTTAAATCACTAAGCCTGAAACTTAAAATGCTCTACTTCAGTTTCTGTAGCCGAGTAGTAGCACCAGGCCTGAAGAAAGTGACTTGAAACTTAGTACACGAGATCCCAGCATATTGTTAAGTCGAGTCAATTAAACCAAATTACAGATAGTCGAAATTATACTTCTATACTTTCGACGAAGACCTCACAAGACGTTTAAGAACCAGTTTTATGGGAATGTTAACAGCAGTTGACTTTACCAACACAATTAGTTCCATCTCTAGAAATTAAGGGATGGTATAAGTATAGATCAGTTCTATCATGCAGAGAAGTAATAAGATAATTAGTGAGGTTTAAAACTATCTATTGCTATGCATGAATTCAACAGGAAGACTATGTTAATAAACAACTTTTACAAAACCTGATAGTTAAAAACCAAGCTCATCGAAGACTCTAGTTACCTCAACATTAACTACAACTATATTGAACAAATTTTACCTTGTCTTATGGTACTCTACTATAGTTGAAAAAAGATTCTACAAAAAACATCACTTTTACTACAATCCTCAATAAGGTTTAGGCTAACTGACTAGCTATACATACAATAATAAGGACTTAAAAATGGTTATGAATTTTCTAAAACCTGGACTAGTCAATAATCTACTCAGAGTCCAGGATCACCCATTTTAGATTATTATTATTATTATTATTATTATTATTATTATTATTATTATTATTATTATTATTATTATTACTAAACTTCACATATCCATCGCCCAAATCGGCACGCTGTAGCAATTACCAGGATGATTCAGTAGCCTCAGAAAAGAAATATAGGGTGGTAAAGCGGAGATTCATCCAGCGTCACAATCTTCTAAGTTTAAAACTACGTGTCTGGCAAAGCCGAATCTACTTATTCACTGGGACTTTGATAAGCAACATCTCGGACACAACCACAACCTCATTAAACAAGATCAAGGACTTAAAACGACGTAAAACAACTAGTCCTAACTAGTTGTAAGTGACGAAAAGATGAAGTATGATTTACCACCCAAACGGCACAAAACATGTGATTAGAATACGTTTATTCGTGGCGATCGGATAAAACAGACGATGATCATCACAGGGCATTACTAAAACACGGAGAGGAAGCGGTACTTTATTCTAGGAAACGAATGTCGCAGTTATTGAACGAATCCCCAGGCAGAAGTGAGAAAATAGGCACAAAATTAAGAGATTCCCAACGCTCATTGTTAAGTGTTTACACTTTACATCTAAAACTCACAGAAACAATTGCCGTCTTGAGCACTGTGGTGTCCAAGCTAGGGTAATTCAAATAATTCCAAACTCGTCAGTAGTAAGTTCATCAGATGATCCTTTCCTTATCTGACTACTTCTAAATTCCCTACAGGTCTAGCTTATCTGTATTAAATTTGTCAGCATCTATCTAATTCGTCTGATATACAAGAGTAACATAGACATAGTGCCCAATTAGAGTGATCAGAGTTCAATTAGTATTTCTCCGTAGCTGCTTCTCATATGATATTTCTGTATATGAGGTCTCCCGAATCAACCAAAAGGTAACTTTTTATTCTATGTCAAATAACAAAAACTGCACATATATGTTCATTTAATTTCAACTAAAGGAGAAGACGAAATTAACTTGCAGTTTTCAAGTCTCGAAAACAAATGCTTAAAATTGCCAACCGACCGCAACGCTTATAACTAGGTACTTACTGTACTGTGAAACCAGTGACAGGGGTGACCTTGAGTGGCGTATGATTTACAAAAGGATGGCACATTACTTGTGTCAGAGCTGGAATACTAGTATTCAAAATTGACCTTATAATAAATCCGCGATGAGACACAAATGATTACATTTTACTAGTTATGCAACTTTCAAAGATTCACGTTTGATCACATCATTTGAAAGACGATCAAGATATTTCAAGAAGATGTCACAGAGATGTGGTTCGACTTTATCCCAACTCAGACTTTGACGAGAACTAAGGTGGTACGTCTTTACTGAGAGGGTGTGAAATATTAGAAAGTCTGTTTCACTGATATCTAATTTCGACCCTCAGACAGCCTTAATTGTATTTACTATACTGATAACTGTCACTGACTGCGTACAGTGTCCTCAACTCACGTTTCCTCTTGTTCTTCTCCTTGTCAGATTTCCTCACAAGTTCTCCCTAGCATACATACAGGTTAAAAATGAAGAAGCTATTTAGTTTTTTATTATTTTTATTATTATTGGCTTTATATAATATAATATGTTTAGTACAATATAGAGTTCTCAGCACACAACATTTCAAAAAAATTCTCGTATGGAAGGAAAGTAAATCGATAACTACATATATGTATACACGAAATAAGTAAAAAGCTTTCCGTAGATTAAGCGAAATGTCTCCAAAAAGATAAGAAAATATATAAATTTTATTTAGCAGAACGCTTCAAAATACAAGTTTTCGACTCGGTCACTTCTTACAGCCTATTCGTCATGTAGAATATATAATACATACAACGTTATTGAGATTTTATGCCTTTGCTTGGGTGCATGTATCGGTGTCTCGTTCTACCCGATGATGTACAAAAAACGGGATGTTAATGAAGCGAATGGTCAGTACTTAATGAGATAACATTTGCCAGAATTTCGCAAGCTTTTGAATATCTGTTCACGACTATATTCATAACGTCCTCAAAAGTATCATTACTCATCCCGCTAACTTTCTTAAGCACTTTGCTCAACACAAAGAAATTTTTCGTCAATATCAGATATACCATAAGCCTTGACTCGGCCAATCGTGTTCTAACAGACAGACTTAACAGGATTCCCGTACATCTTTGGCACAAATTTTAACGCAGACACTGGGATATAACCTCATGATCAACATATTCGAACGATCCTTCAAAGTCAAGGAACACAACTACAGCTTCTCGTCGAAAAATATATCTATGTTTCAGGTTTTGCCGAAGGGTAAATATTTGGTTTACAAATCCACGTCCAGGTCTGGAACTAGTTTGATTTTCTCTAATTCACTGTTCACGCGCTTTAGTTAGGGGTTAATGAATTATTTGTCTTAATATCTTGGACACTGTGTTAGTCAAACTGATCCCTTTTGAATATTACAAGGCGAATTTTTTCTTTCTTATAAATTGGGATGATTAGTGATCAAGAAAATTCAAATAGGATGATGTTCAGTTCATAGGATCTAGCTGAAATCTCAGTCATCACAATTGATTGATCGCTGGGTGGTGATCAATGTTATGCTTGTCTAGTCCTTATTAGTGCAGATCGAATGCTATCGATCATGTTGCAATGTGGCCAACAGTCTAGGTGATTTGGGATAGTTATGGAGGTATGAGGGCAGTTTTCACTTTACGGTGTCTCACACTGTTGAGCCGTTTCTCCCAAAGGGATCTGAGAAGAAGGCTAAGTTAATAGTGGTCTTATCAACCTGAGAGCTTGAGCTCGGAGCCCAATGAACAGCTGCTTAAGGTCGGCCGCTCACGCCTTTTTAGTAAAACATTTTCTATATGCCAGTATTGCAGTTCAAGAGACCTTACCGCTGGAGGCCGGAATCCGTGGGGTAATATGGCGTGTGACATTTTCAAAGTCATCGTTTCCTAATATTTTTCTTCCGTTGTAGGGGTGTTGTGCCTCTGCAGATGCTGGTTGTCAAGAAATCATAAGGCAAAAATGAATTGAGAGAAAACCTTACATATAGATATGTGGCCTTTGAAGAACTCTTATTATGGAATCTCGAGCAATTCAAACCTTACGGGACTCCAACCATGTGTTTAGGCTCTGCTTACGTCTCAGGGTGAAATAAATTTATCAATACGTTAAGGGATTAAGTGTTAGACCACCAAAAATGGCCCCCGTTGATTGGTCGACAAAAAGTTAGTTCGTTTCAGTAGTTTTTAGACGGTCAGAAACACGACAAGATCATTCATATTCTTATCAAGTGTTCTCCATTGAATGTGGCAGACCACGCAGGGAAAATAGGGAAAAGAAAGATGTAAGAATAGCTCTTTATTGTATATCCTGAGTTTGCAGTGCTGTTGGGCTCATAGCACCAAGGACAGTATAGTGTTTGCTTTCAGGGGGTAGGAAAACAGCTGTTTGTTTCGTCACCCGTCTTTGCGAATGCTGACAAACTTGTTAAATAGCAGCAGTCTTTAAATAACATCAAAGGCATGATTGCAGTCTAGAAATGCATATTAAGCATAGTTCTTACGTTTTTTCACGCTGGAAACTAAATTTTGATGTAGGGCGAGAAAGTATCCAAGGTGTTACTTTTGAGTTTGTAGACAAACATATATGGATTAATATACTTTCTAACGACAGGCTAATATGGGTGTAGCAATATTTTTCCGATTGTTTGAAGTAAAAGTGAAGTTATTCCTATGGATCAAAATTTTGAGTTATAATCACCAGTCAACTTTTTGGTGTTGGATTTATCCTCGTCGTTCCCTATATTTTAGGAACAAAATTAGTTCAGAAGGACTGAAAGATATATTTTGCTAACGATCGATGTGTTGGGTGCTTACGCTATGTAAGGCGTCTAGTTGTCGTACAAGATGTGATGCACGAGATGCTGGAACATAGCCTTGTTGACCAGATACATTCAGTTAAGTATTCATCCAGTAAAATTAATGATACTAATATCGATATCAATATGCTAAAAGTCATTTATGTTAACGAGATATTTTGGCGCTATCTACTCTTTGGGGATTCCATCCCTTTGGTTGAATCATACACTACTAAAGACCGCTCTATTTGGAATTGCGAAGAACGGAATGGTAAAGAGGATTTTTTAGTCGTAGCATCTGGGCCGATTCACTTCCACTTAGAGCAAACTGACGAACGAAGATTCAACTACATTTCTACAAAGAGTCCTATCGATTGACAATCCAATGAGAAAGTCGGTAGTCAGTCCGGGCTAGTGGACCTTTTTTGGGTGTATTTGTAGTCGCTCTGTTATGGAAGGTGAAAAAATGCAGCGCGTTAGACGGAAAATCATTATTAAATAATTGATAAACTGCAATATAATCATT